GTTGGTGCATCAGCCCCTCGTCCCAGACCACCCTGTGGAGCTCGGGCTCGTCACAGCCAAAGTCCAGCAGTGCCTGACCCTTGCCCACACGCAGACATGTGGAAGATGAGGCAACACACCTTTCCAGCTCAGCTGTGCTCCCACCAAGACCACTGAGATGCCACATTTTGGGAGGTGACGACAAGAGGCAAAGGTCAGCTCAGCGTTTTGTCTCCAGTTCCCCCCCCCACGACTCAGCAAAACCCCAGAGTCACACCCTGGGCTGGTGGGAAGGGACCTCAGGTGGCCATCAAGGCCAGGGTGTCACTTGGGGTGGACTAGGTCAGGGTGGGCCCCTAGACTCAGAATTCTTGCACAAAAGCACTGTGCTAATGGTGTTTGAATGTCTTCCTCCAAGGTAGATAATATTAGGTGAAGAAAAACAAAATTTGGATTCAGAATTTGGGTTGAGACAAGAGAACAGGGCCAGGCTGGCTGGAAGAGCACCTGGGGGCAAACCCACACGGCAGCATCAGGCACCAAGCACCAGAATCCCTGTGGCTGTTCCTCTGTGACATCTCCAGGGCAGCTTTCACTCTGTGCAGATGCCACAGCACAGCAGGTCCCCAGAGCTGAGCCACGTGGCCACATCCCACCCCACACCAACCTACCTTCCCTCTGTGCCCGTCACAGCCCATGGGGAGGCTCCTCTCTGCCAAGCAGGCACACAGTGTTTCACTACAGTGGGACCTAGCAGGGCAAAGAAACCAAAACTGTATTATTTTCTTCATTTTTAATAGGGACAGATCCTTATTTATGCTTGCTGGGCTTTGGGGTTTTCTCTTTCTTTTCACATCCCTCTTTCTCTCAAGTGTTTCAGGGTGGCAACGCCTACAGCACATTTGTGCCTGGGCACATCAGCCACCCTGCAGATCCCTTGGAGCTTCATATGGGGATGTTCTGGCAGCAGGAGCTGCTCCCTTTCCCTCCCAGCCCCTCTCCTGGCAGATCTCCTGCCCCCCGAGCCCACAGCACGCACCCGCGGCGTGCCCAGCGCCTGCCGTGCCCCTGCCCTGCCAGCTGCCCGTGGCCACAGTGCCAGCACAGAGCTGTGTGACAGACAAGGGACATGGTTGAAACAGGAGCTGAGCCACCTGAAACCTCTCCCAGAGCTGGGAATGCTCCCAGCTCCTCTCCTCCTGCACGTCCACCCACAGCCAGGGCAGAGCTGCCGGCGCTCCCGTCCCCCAAGAGCATCACCAAGGTTATCCCAGTGCAAAATGAGCCACACCAGGAAGGGAGTTGTTACATTTGGGCTGCTGCAGGCAGAGACACCCAGGTGACACAGCACAGCATCACCTGCACCCTCCAGAGCAATCCCAAAGCAGCTCTTCCCAGGCTCGGGGCTGTGGGTGAGCTCAGGGGTGCCAAGCCAGCAAGGGGAGCTGGGCTGTGGAGCATCATCTCCCCAGCCCTCACACATCTCGGCCTCCCCTGTCCAGCAACAGCTGGGTTAAGCCTCAGGTGCTTACCCTGCTTTGGAAATTCAGGCAGAGCCCTTCCTCCAGATGACGTCCAACTCGTGCAGTTCTCCCAGCCACAAAGCCTGGTTTAAGTTGCGATTAAACCCGACAACCTCCTTGTGCAGACTCTCCTAAATAAGATTGGGAACAGCTAAAATTAGTCTAATTTAGTTTAGTCATTAATCCTTTTATCCACACTTAATCCAATTTAAGTGTCCGCACAGTGAGCTCGCACAGACCTCGTCGCTGAAATTTAAAACAAAATTGAATTAAATATTGTTTAATTAAATTAACACTATCTGAGTGCTGCTGTAAGAGGTGTTTGCCACAGATGATTATCAGCTGCTTGGTTAATGCTCAAAGTTATCCTGAGCTCTGTGCTCTCCCCACAGCTCAGTACTTTGGGATTGCATGGACATCTCCACTGGCATTTAATGAATAAAAACACCCTTCCTAGCCCTCAGGTTGGGAAAGAGACTTTCAAACACAAGGTTCAGGAGGCAAATAGAACCCTGCCTGAAAAAAAATAATTAAAAAAAGCAAACAAAAACCCTTTTTTAGGTGAAATGTCACGATTCCAACACTTCACGCTGACCTTTGTTTCTGGGACTGGGACAACCCAGACACCGGAGTTGAGCAGTGTCGGGACAGCTCCCACCTCTCATCTCTTGGAGCTGGGAGGAGACAGCACACCTTACCCCCCAAAAAAAAGAACAGTAACCTTGAACTTTCCCTGTCTAATTGCTGTCTCCTCCAGCTATCTTCTCTGCAATGGTCATTTTCCTAAGCGTTACAGAAGAGAACAAAACCACAGCCCAAACGCAGGAATCAGCTGCAAACTTGGTTGCCAAGTTGGCAGAGGAGATAAGGACCTTTTATTTCAAGAAAAAAAAAAAAACAACCCAGACGCTGAGGAGGGAAAGACAAGTCTTTAGCAACTTTTACAGCCAGTCTTGCAATGCAATTTCCTAAGCACATTCAAAACTCGTAAAAAAGAAAAAAAAAAAAAAAAAAGCCCAAATTTTCACCAGCAGCGTTTCCTCAGAGCTCTCTGCTCGCTGTGGGGGTGGGGGGAAGCCTCCAGCCTCCCTCGGACGTGCGGGATGTGAGGAGCTGGGGCTGACTCACTGCTGCACACACATACCCATGGCACAGCTCAGCAAGGAAGGAAGGGAAAGGGAAAAACCCACCAAACTGAAGGACTGTGTCCCTTTTTGAGGCAGGTCAGCACTGCCCACACCCCCACGGGGCAGGGAATCAAGGGTTGTGTGGACATCAAAGCCTTGGGAAGTGGCGAGGAAGGCAGCTTGATCCTCACCTAGTTGGGAACTGTGATCCCAACACAGGCCAGACATTAAGCTGGTTTTAATTGTAGAATCAGAGAACAGTTCAGGCTGGCAGGAACCCTAAAGTTCACCAAATCCAACCCTTACGAGCCACTTGGGTTGTTTTAGGGCAGAATTGGGGCAATATCACCCCGTGAGGCAGCTTTTCAGAAAGGAAGGTGTTCAAATCCTCAGGCAAAAGGCATCTGACTAAATAACACTCCTTCCAGCAATTCCTGTGTCCCTCAGAGCTCTGTTCAGCCACTTTCTCAGACTCAAGAGACAAACCAGTGCTCAGCCTCAGCACCAGTGATGCTGCAGGGGCAGGAAGGGGAAACACGGCACCAGCCACTCACATCACGAGTTATTCACGTCACAGACAGGTTTCCTCTGTGTGGGCTGAGATAAAACCCAGCTCAGAGTTATCAAACCCACGTTCCCTGTGCCACAGGCCCTCTTTTCCATTCCCTGGTTTGAGGACAAGCCCCCTTTGGCTCCAGCTTGCTTTGGGGGCTGCCTGCCCACCCCTTTGAGCTGCACCTCACCAGGGTTTGCAAACACCCCCCAGGAGATGCAGCCTCCTTTAGAGCATCCTTGGAAGGCTCCCTCTGAGCTTTCCCTCTTTTCACATGCACCAACTTCTCCCTAAAATTGCTGCTATCCCATCAGCTCATATTTTAATTTCTATATGCTGTCCTGGCAGAGCAATTCCCATCACCTCAGCCAGAAATCTGTCCAGTGTCCCACCATCTGCTCTGTGAAATCAGAAGCTGTAAATCCCAACAACTTCTTGTGGCTTTAGCAACTCCCTAAGGTCAGCAGCTGCTGAGATGTGTATGGAATATATATGATTGTCCAGCCAGAGCAGTACCTGAGCAGGGATGCAGCCTGCAGTGGGAGCAGATGATGATGGTGGTGATGCAATGTGCTGGGAGGGATTGATGCAACACTCCTGGCTGCAGTCCAGGGAAGCAGTGTGACAGCACGGCCTCCTGCTTCTCCCCAAAATGGAAACAGCCCCGTTCTTCAGCTGAATCACAAGGAGTGACACAACAGAGTGTTACAGAGTTCCAGCACCAAGTGTAGGAAAAGTGAAAAAGAGGGTTTTAACGGGTTGATGTAACTTTTACTAACTCAGGAGATTCCAATTGTTGCTATTTCTAAGAAATAAGGTGCTGTCACACACTGCAGCCATCACCTGCTAATGGCTGTCTTTGCCAGCAACCACCTGTAGAAACCTTTAATAAACTCCTTTGCTGTCCTTCCATATGGCATTTTTTAATCCTTTTCACCCCAAGAATAAAGAGTGAGGCAGAGACATCCATTTTGCTGAACTGACTGCACAGACCCAAGCCCCAGATCCAAACACTGCCATATTTTAGGATCTCAGGACACAGACCCTCTCTCACTCACTCCCAGGCACCAGCTCAATAAAGCTTCTATTATCATATTAAATATTTCTTGCAGAAGCAGCTACGGAGCTGGACAGCAAGTGAGACAACAGAAACAGATACCTGGTGCTGGAATTAGACTTTGGGATGATTATATTTTTTGGAGGGGGGAGGAGGGATATCAACAAGTTTTATGAAAGAGAAAAAGGAGGAATAGAAGGAGAAATAGAGGGAGATAGAGAGGGAGAAGGTAAAAAGAAGGTAAAATAGAAGGAGAAGGTAGCAAGAAGAAAACATAGAAGAAGGTAAAAAGAAAATAAACAGGAGAAGGGTAAAAAGAAGAAGAAATACAAGGTAAAAAGAAAAAATAGAGGAGAAGGTAAGAAGAAGGAAAAATAGAAGGAGAAGGTAGCAAGAAGAAAAAATAGAAGATAAAAAGAAGAATAAAAGGAGAAGGTAAACCAAAGAAAGTATAGAAGGTAAAAAGAAAACATAGGAGAAGGTAAAAAGAAGGAAAAGATAGAAGAAATTGAAAAGAGAAAGGAGGAAAAAATAAATCCAAATAAATAAAAACAAATAAACAAACGAGGCAAAATAAGAACCAGGAGAAGAAAAAAAAAAAAAAAGAAGAGGTTGGGTGGGTTTTTTTTCCCCCCCGTCTGGCCGGATTAAGGGCAGGCTCTGCCAAGCGGCGGCGGGGGGGGTGGCCCGTGCTCGGGGCACGATGCCCGCCCCGCCCGGCCCCGCCCGCCCCACGGGCGATATAAGGCGGCGGCGGGTGCGGGCACAGCAGCTGCCGAGCGGAGCGGCCCCCGCAGCCCAGAACAGCCCGGCCCCGCAGCCAAAAACCACCGCAGCGCTCACCACCCTCACCGCAGCCGGCCCTGCAGCAGCGCCGCCGCCTCCGGGTAAGGGGGAGCGAGGGGATGCCACGGGGAATGGGATGCGGGTGGGATGCGGTGATCCGCCTGGATCCCAACCCCCGGTCAGGGTCTGCTCGATGCGTTTCCCTGCAGCGAACCTTCAGCAAAAATCCAAAATCCTCCACTAAAATCAGCGCGGAGCTCGGGCTGCCCGGAGGGGAGGGCTCTGACACTGCAGCAGCTGGATTTAACTAACGCCCTTCTCTCTTCTCTTGCAGAACTGACATCTAAATCTGCTGCTGCTGCAAAAAAAACCCCAAAACCACAAAAAATGGAAACCATGCATGAGCTGATCCCCTTCGCCAAAGAAATGCTCAGCCAGAAGCCCAACAGGAAGATGGTCAAGCTGTACATGCTGGGCAGCGTGCTGGCCTTCTTTGGGGTGGTCATCGGGCTGGTGGAGACCGTCTGCAGCCCCTTCAGCTCCCAGGGCAGGCTAGAGGACGAGGAGGAGGAGAAGAAGAAGAAACCTGCCCCGACACGAGAGCAAAGGCTCCCCCAGAAACAGGAGGATTTGATCCTGGAAAAGAGCACGAAGCCGGGGGCGGTGCAGAGGGCCCTGGTGACCAGACAGCACGCGTCGTAGAGCCCCGCCGAGGAGCTGCCTGCTGAGCAACCGAGCACAGAGACTCTGCTGCCCCGTCCTCCCTGGTGGTGGTTCCAGCACGAAGAGAGAAGGCTTGGCCGAAGGAGACTCGAGGAGAAGAGAAGGGTTTTATTTGCTGCTGTGCAGCAGTGGGAAAAAATACCTTTTGTTGGTATAAACCTGTGCCAAGATGCACAGCATGGTTTCTTATTTTTATTACGGATGCGTTTTACACCATTTTGCAAGATCAATAAATATTTTATATGGCACCCAGTGCTCTCTTGCTGCGTTTATTTTTCTCTTTTACTGGTTTTACTCACTTCTGGCTCCTTTCAGGAGGTAGCTGGGGGTACTCTCTGGTACCCAGAGAGTAGTGAAGGGGCTGTACTCTCTCTATAAAGCCCCCCAGTGAGGCTGCTCTGGGGCCAAGAGGGTCAGTGTGTCTGTACTCCTGGCAGCTGCTCCCTTCCAAAATGGGCCAGCTGGGGAGGAGGTGGCATTTGTGTCACATGGGTGACAAACATGCCCCAAGCTGGAGGTGGGGTTGAACTTTAGGGGGTTATTTGGGTTCATTGGCACAGTTTCATGTCTCTGTCATGGCCATGGGTTACAGAACTGTTTAAAAATCAACCATGGACCCTCTGTCCTTGCCTTGACAATTCTCCACCTGGCTACAGCTGCTGCACAGCAAAAAACTTTAAAAATCTCTTCTACCATTGCTGAGATCCTTCACAAACCCACCACAGACATGTAACTGTGCAGAGTAATATCGGATTCCAGTATTACAGGGGTGTCAGAGGTGGAAAAATTGAAGCATGGAGGTGGCACAGGCAGTCTGGAGGGTGTGGAAATAGAGTTACAAGCTTCAGGCTGTACCCAGGGGCACTGCCAGAATCATTAGAGGACTTTCACCCATTTAAAAAAATCTTTCTGGGCTCAGCAAGAATCTGTTGCATTCAGGACTATGTCATGTTAGTCAAATAAAGCCCCCAGACAGACACAGCTGACTGATCCCGACCACACTTGGGAAGGGAAGGAGGGGAAACAATCCCTGCCAGTCACAGCCAGGGCAGAAAATCCCTCTTGGTCTGCTCAAAGAGACACCAGCAGGGCAGAGGTAGGAGCCAGGCTACACACCTTGCACAGGGACTGGGAGACCTGCCAGGAATGTGCCATTCTCTGGCAAAAAGCCAAACAATTGATCCAAACAGCAGATCCCAGAAGGTTTTAAAATGCTGCCCCACACCGGAGCTGCACGAGTCAAGATCAGCATCTGAAAATTCCAGAGCACAGATGAAGTTTGCCCTCACAATTTCATAATAGTACCCCACAGTTCATTTTGTTGACCATTACTTGTGTTTTTTTAAAAAAAAACAACACAACAAACAACAAACAATAAAAGCACATTGCAGACGAGGAGTCCTATCCAGTCTCTGCACTAAAACTCTGCTCAAGCTTTCAGTCGAGTTTAAAGTACCTTTTCCTCAGTTAAAATTAAGGTTTTAAATAAAATTATCTTTGAGAAGTACTTTATTTAGTCCATAGCCAAGCCTTTGGACTCTGGCAAGGTTAAACAATCCAAGCCCCCATTGATAGCAATGGAAGAATTGAGGTCTTAAGAGAGCCATCTGCTGAGGAGGGTCCATCATCCTCCCCTACCTGCCAATTCCAGCTTTAAGGAGGTTATATGTTTGGAGCCCAGCCCCAGGGATAGGGAAGGCTGTCCTGGTATTCTCTGTGTCACACTTGGTGCATGGACAGAGCAGGGACCTGGATGTCTGTGGCTGCATCAGGCATGAAAGTGTTCCCAGCTCTGATCAGCCAGAGCTGAACACTTAAACGGATTAAACCAAGATGACAATCACATCTCTGTCCAAGGAAACTGTTAATCCCACATCACTTCCCAGGATTAGTGCCACTCTACAAGTCACAGGTGTCTCATCGTGCCCTGTGGGGAAGGGGAATTTTGAAAATGAGGAGATGGAGCTGGTCTCAAGCAGTCCAGCCTGGGAGTCCAAAGGTGACCAGGGGAGCTCCAGGTGAGCTGGGTTTGGACCTGGGTTTGTCTTCACACCACAGACGTGGCCTCGTCACACTGTGCCATGCCCTGCTGCCCACACCTCCTCTCCACAGTGATCCAGTCACGAGGCTCAGGGGCTTAAAGCAAAGAGATTTGTGAGCCAGTCAAAATAGCTCCTCCTAAGGCAGCTAACGGGATTAGACAGATAAACCACGGCCTGCGCCGGCAGCTCGGGACCCACCTCGGGAACATCATATCCTGCCACGACAGCCTCCTGCCTCCTGACGTCCTGCAAGCTCAGAGGTTGTTTCTGGACACACATCACCCTGAAAGGCCAGCCTGGGAGGTCATCCCTGCGTGTTAGCACTTCCTCAGGGGATTGCACTGCCCTTGGACGGGGCTGGCTCTCTGCAGAGCGCTGAATTCGACAATCATTAATAGCCAACTTCACCAGAGTGGCCATAAAAAGGGTTATTTGAACCACACAATAAATTCCGTGTGCACAGAGGCTTTGTAACCCCCTTTAACATCACTTTAACGATGATGGATGGCAGGCTTGCCACATGCAGCAGATTAAAAGCCTTCAGCAAACTTCCCCACCCTTAAACCACGACACGACCCTCCCATCCAGCCTATTTTCCCATCCCTACCAAGTCTGTATTCCCACTCCAGGTAAACTGCAGCAAAGCCTGGCCAACACAAGTGCCACAAATAACAGCAAACAGCATCCCCCACCACCACCTGCAATGGAGCAAACAATCATTCCCATGAATTGCAAAGGCAAATTTTAATTATAAGTACTGGGACAGACCAGACAGCAACCAGATGGAATGAGACATGCAGACAGTACTGGTGAGGACACCTCAGGCAAGCTACTGTGTAGAAGCAGACAGAGCATTTAAGGCTAAGCTAAACTCAGGCCCTGAGGGATAAACTCCTGAGGACAGCCACACATCACCCCAGGGCTGAGTTGCATTGCTGAGTTTGCACGAGGCTGATTTCTGTTGTTCTCTCTGAGACTTGTTTGTATCTAATTTACTCCAACCTGTGAACGTGACATTTTCCTGGTACGTGAAGTTCCCGGGAAAACTGAGGCTGGCACGAGATCTGGGGAGTGTTTGTCTGTACCCATCCTGCAGCATCTCCTCAAAGATCCTATTTCAGCTTGGAGCTGTTCTCCAGACCTTCACCACATGGAGCTGAAGGCCACCCAGCCCCACTCACACATCAACCACTTCAAAGGCATGAGCTGAATGTCTTCAGAGAGCCCTCACTCTCTATTTGTAGTTTGGATAGTGGATATTTCAAGAGCTGCCAGGCTAAATTTAGGGGTGCAGATAAGCATATCAGCCTCAGGCACCCAACATCAAGGGCACTGGGAACATGGACAGTGGCCAAGACTCAAAGCAGCCACAGCTCAAACCATCAAATAGCAAGGCAGCAATTCCTGATTTGGTCACACAGGGAAAAAACCCATTAATTTAGCACTTATAAATGACTTAAACATCACAGTATTTTCTCTAAACCACCAGTGTGTAGAAATACGATGTCAAACCAAACCCATCCTACAATCAACTCAAGTCTTTCTTGGAATCTGAGTGCATTTTTCTGGAGAAAGGTGCACTGTGACAGTGATGGGGTTTGCAGGATGTGCCCAAGAGCCACAATAAGGTGACATGAAGCTGTGTCAAAACCCACAGGCATCTCTCATGGCCCAACAGCATCGTGATGTCATGCAGTCTAGTGCAAGGATAACGATGGCAACGCTTTATAACATGATAGTCCTGTCTGGAAAGAACATATTTAGAGCTGTGTTCCTGGTAAAGGATGCTGGGAGAGCTGGGTATGAAAAATCAAGTTTAAATATCCACGAGATAAACGAAAGCAAGAGGAGAAAGAAGAAAAAAATAAAGAGGAAAATCCTCTGCATTTAACCAAGACTTGACCATCAGTTGAAAAAAGCCAAATATCACTCAAAAGAGGGGGGAAAAAAGAAACAGTATTCAAATTCCTGCTGAGTTTGCTCAAGTCTTTGAGCTGCCTGCACAAACCTGCCTGAGCCTCAGCCTTGCTCTGGAACGTGCTCCCTCCAGGGGCTCCCCAAGCTCCCCTCTCCCAGTTTGCTGTCAGAACAAGTTTCCTTCACAGATTCGTTTCCTCCAAGAACCTCCCGTGTGTAGAGAGGGCAGCACCACGCTGAGCATCACCCCTTGGAAAACACAGCTCCCACCAGACAGGGACACAGAAGGGACTTGCAGTGGGGTGAATACATCCAGGATAATCCGGGTGAAGCTGTTTCAGAAGCCACAGAGCTCCCTCTCACCGGATCAGGGCCAGGCACAGCCCTGGGCTCCCCTCTCCGAGGTCTGGACCAGCTGAGAGGAGAAAACCTTTCTCCGTCATTGCCTTTCCCTTCCCTCACTCCCCGCCCCCAGGAAAAAGCCAAAAACAAGTTCTTAAGTTGCACACGGGAAAACAAGCCCAGAAAAAGCTGCGAGTGGGAGTGAGGAGCAGCAGCAGCACCCTGGAAGGGACGGGTGGCCCAGAGCAAACCCCACGTGGGCAGCGAAGCGTGGCCGGATCCGACAGCTCCTGCCACAGCCCCCAGCCCTCCTGGGGACCACCCCAGCTTCATTTCCACACACTGAACTGCACATGAACTGCTTATAAAAGAAAATTTGCATAAGTTTCGTCCAAAACATTCAGTGTTTCTGTCCTTTATTATCAGCTACTTGGTAAAAACCCAACTCAACCCCATGAACTGCCGTTACCACCAGCAAGGCGAGCGCAGTGTTGGCTCCAGAATCGCCCCCTGCCTCCATCCCCACATCTCCTGGTGCTGATGCAAAGCAAAGAGCATGATACCTTCCTGTCATGCTTGCAGATAGTGCACAAAGGTTGCTGGTTAATTGCTTTAGTGCAGTAACCTAATGCTGGTAATAAACCAAACTATCTAAAAAGAGCCTCTCTCCCTGCACAGACAAGATCAGCTGAGATATGGTTAATTACTTCACTGTTGGATTGCAAGCCAAGGAATTAAATGGTTGCCCCGTGACTGTGACCCAAGTTCAAAGCAAAGGGAGGCAGGAAAAGGCAGTGAGTGCACTGGTGTTATCTGACCAAGTGTGGGCTGAGTGCTTCTTATCACAGGGAAAGTTGAGACTGAATTAGAAAGGCAGAAGAGAAAAAAATAACCTGTAAAGCAGTAGCAAGGCCAGAGAGCTCCACTGCCCTAACAGGTACACCACTGAATTAAAGCATCTTTATTTTGAAGATGCAAATTAAATAATTCCTTCAGATTGCTTTGAAAGGGAAAACCATGGAGATGTTCCCAGGAAATCAGACCTTGGAGCAGCCCTTGTCCTGCAGATCACAGAATTCACAAAACCATTTAGGTTGGAAAGGGCCTCTACCATCAAGTCCAACCTTGAACTGATTTCCACCTGCAAACACATCCTTCCCCTGGCAGAGAAGGTCAAGGATCCAGCAGGACAGTTCCAGGAGCACACAGAGCTCCCACAGCACATCCTCACCCCACAGCAGCTGCTGGGACTGTGCAGTGAAGATCCCAGCACCAGACCAAAGCTGGAACATTTATATTCACTTAAAGACAGAACAGAGCTTGTACAAAACTCAAAGCAGGAACCACAGCAGAGAGGTTGTGCAGAAAACACATTCAAAGTTTCACTGCAAACCTCCCTGTGTTCAGAGGACCCCTTGGAGCTGGGCTGGCTGCACCCTGGTGACGGGTTCAGCTCAATCCCTGCTCCCTCATCTGCTCCCAGATGGATAAAAAAAAAAAAAAAATTAGATGAAAAACTAAACCCTGCCCCAGCAAAGCATTTCTGGAGCTGTTTTGGAGCCTGATGTGCTGCCGGACCCCTGCTGCTCAGCTTTGGGCACAGAGCAGTGACACCCTGTGGAGCACAGGGACATTCTTTACGTGTCCCCCCATGGCATAGCAGGACCCCCAGTCGCTCTCCCAGTGCCAGACCCGGGTCACATCCACACACAGTGCCAGCAGGAATAAAGAAGGATGTTTAACCACCTGCACTGGGCTCCCTCTGATGTTCTCCAAGTGAAACTTGACGCTGCTCAGCAAAGACACACCTCTTCCAGGGTGTTGTGCAAAATTCTGCATTTTAACGTAGGACAGGAAATATGAAAAGAGCCGGGCAGAACCCAAACAGCCCCGCTGGCCAGGCCGAGCAGCAGGGAGCAAATCAAAGGCTTGGCTCCTCTCATCCATCCACCCGTGATTTTCCAGGGCTTTGGAAGCCGCAGCTCCTCCGCTAACAGGTTTTTTAAGGATTCTCATCGCTGCTTCCCTCTGGAGCAGCTCTGCAGAGGGATTTTTTTTTTTGTTGTTGTCGTTGTTCCTTCCTTTTCTCTCATGCTGTGTTTCCTCACTCCACAGTGGGATGGGTCGGTTGCAAAAGATTCTCATTCCCTTGCTGGGATTGGTTTTGGCCTTCTGGTTTTATTCTGCGAGGGAGAATTTCAAACCGGGTGAGTATCCGAAGCGACTCTGCCTTTAAATTCAAAATATGAGAAGCCACATTTGAGTGCTTTGCATAGAAACCATTCAGAGCTCGGACCAAGCCAAGCCCGAGCGTTTGTGAGGTGGCTGATAGCAGAAAGTTGCTTTAGCAAAGATTTAAAATCCAACTGAGCAAGGAATACTCAGAAATACTTCCCGAGGGAGCAGGTGAGGGGCTGAGGGGGAGAGGGCTCTGAATGCTCCATTTCCCAGTGTGCAGCAGCAGAATTTATAAATAGGACTTTTAAAATAATGGATTTTAAGTTCAGAGACTGCACTTAGTGGGTGATTTTTACTACAGAATAGTAGGGGTGCTGATAAGTTGCGTCCTGACTCGTGGAAAAAGCTGCTGAAAGAGTCAAGTGCTGTCCCTGTGTCGCTGCATTCCATGAGGAGCTGCAGCAGCTGCACAGCTTTTTCCTGATGCTGGATGCTTTGCACTTACAAGCTCATTTACCTGCCAGTTAACTGCTTGTTCTGAAGGGTGTTATGGGATTTTTTTAGTTTTAGGGTTGTTTTTTTTCTAACAGCATCGGGATAAATTAAATGCCTGTGCCTCGGTCCCCAGAGATGCTGAAGGGGAAGCGGGTGATCGTGACGGGAGCCAGCACTGGAATTGGGGAGCAGATTGCCTACCACCTGGCACGGATGGGATCCCACATCCTGATCACGGCACGGACAGAGGCCAAGCTCCAGAAAGTAAATGGCAAAGCGGGCACTCTCACATGCATGTTCACAGCAGGGCACACACGCCAGGGCTGATCTCACACCACAGGTACATCCACCATGCAGGAACATCCACACAGGTAATTGCCACAGCACAGATCCCAGTTGGGAATGGTGACACTCACAGGTAGGCACCCCTGGGCTCCTGCATGCACAGAAATCCCTCTCCTGCAGACACACACACACACACCCTGCAGAACGTGTTATAAGGTTTGAACTTATGTACACACATCCCCACACACACACCACCCACCCTCATTCCACTGCAGTGATATCCAAGCTCCTGCTCTCCCCACACACATGCAATTCCAGACTGAACGGCTGGAGAGCCAGACTGCCTGGGGTGCAGGAATAATTTCCCGGGCTCCCTTTGAAGCTTAGAAGGCTCCAAACACGCTCCCAAACCGCTGTTTTAAGGTGGGGAGACATCACAGGGAGCCCAGACACCCACGTTTGGTGCCACCTCGGGCTGGCAGGGCAGGGGGAGGCACGTTCCTGACGGGCTGTGTTGGTGGCAGGTGGTGGAGCGGTGCCTGGAGCTGGGAGCAGCCTCGGCGCGGTACGTCAGCGGCACCATGGAGGACATGGCCTTCGCCCAGCACGTGGTGAGGGAGGCAGAGGCCTCACTGGGTATGTCTACAGATTGCCCTCCACGAGTGCCAGAAGAACAGGGCATCTCATCCCTGCCAGGTTTATTGCCAAAAAAAAAAAAAAAAAAGCTGGAGAGGTGGTGCGAGACAGGAGAAATTTCCCCCTGGCTCTACCCCCTGCCTGGCTTCCCCACTGCCCCTCAAACTGAACTGCACTCTCATTTTCAGCCCTGTGCCCTCATGACATTCCTGCTGCAGGGCCACGATCCTGGATTTCATCACCCAGGGGCTGGAGTGCCCCATCAGCCCCTCGGCAGCCCCGGTATCGCGGTCACGGGTCACAGCCGTGGAAATGCACGGCTCCAGCTCCATGTGGAGCGGTCCCTTCTCCCTCCCAGGGCCCACACACACAGCTGGGGGTGATCTCCCTTGTGGCGTGGTATTTGTGTTTTGAACCAAAAAGAAATATATCACAGCAGAGGTTTTACTGGCAGCCACCATCTGGAGTATATCCCTGCCCCAGAGACAACGGGCCACAGCTCTGACCCAAAAACCTGATTTCTTCTGATTACACTTATTCTGCTCCCAGGAAAGGCTGTTTTGCTGGTTGTAGCCCTCTCCCCACCTCCAGGCACTAACACCCTTTCCTCTGCTCGCAGGAGGCCTGGACATGCTCATTCTTAACCATGTTGGTGCTTCATACTTTGGTTTTTTTGATGGGGATGTTGAGCACGTAAGAAAGCTCCTGGAAATCAACTTCCTCAGCTATGTGGCCATGACCACATCAGCCCTGCCCATGCTGAAGGAGAGTGAGGGCAGCATTGTAGTGGTTTCATCCATGGCAGGTGAGTGGGGAGTGAGGTAGGTGACATGGGATTCACCCAAAAGACACCGTGAGCTGATTTTCATAAGTAGCACACAGGTATCCTAAAAGAGACACAATTGCTTAACACTCCAAAAAAACCCCCACACTAAAAACACCTCAGCACCAAATCCAGGTTATTTTGGGATTTTCTTGATGGAATTTGTTTCCTGCTCAATCCAATCGCCTCAGTTTGCTTTTTGACCAGCCTTGCAACTAAACCCCAGAGCTGGTGTGCTGGACAGTGTTCTGGTCATCACCTTAGCCCAGGATCCAGGGACAGGAGTTGAAACTTTGCTCCATCCCTCCTCACTGAGGGCTTTGTGGTTACTTTGGATTGCTTATGCCCTCAGCAGAGACATGAGCCCTGGTGTTGGGCATAAGACCTTAAAAGAGCTGGAAGCCAACAGGAATATTTGTAACGCTGCTGTTCAGGTGCCAGGATGACATTTCACTAACAGTAAACTTCCCTTGGGGAAAACACTCTCTCTGATGAAGGGCAGAGCAGCTTCCAGTGCTGTAACAGAACTTAACTCTGTGTCCAGGTAAAGTTGGCTTTCCCTTTACTGTCCCCTACTCTGCGACCAAGTTCGCCCTGGATGGATTTTTCAGCTCCCTGAGGCAGGAATTCACCATTCAGAGCATTAATATTTCCATCACACTCTGCATCCTGGGCTTCATTGATACTGGTAAGTTGTGTTGTTGGATGCACCGGTAAGGAGTGGAGCATCATCATCTCAGCCCCCTCTGCGTATCCCTCATCCCCTCTCTGAGCCCCTCGGGGTCCCCACCCACCCCTAAGCCTCATCGTGCCCCTGGGAGTCCCCACTCTCCCCTCTATGTGCCCCTCCTCTCTGTACCCCTCATCCCTTCTATGCGCTCCCCTACTCTCCCCTCATCCCCCCCGTGTCTCCCACGTGTCCGCCCCTCCCTCCGTGCCCCCGCACCGCCGCCCTGACCCCCTCCCCGCAGACCGCGCTGTCCGCGCTGCCGGGGCGGTGCTGCGGGAGCTGCCGGCGCCGCGGGACGAGTGCGCGCTGGAGATCCTGAAAGGGGCCGCGCTGCGCCGCCGGGAGCTCTACTACCGCTACAGCTCCACCCGCCTGCCGCTGCTGCTCCGGGACTGCGCCGCAGAGCTCCTCGACTACCTGGTGAGGAGCCGCTACCGCCTGCCCGGCACCCCCGGCACCCCCAGCCCTGCCCTCTGAGCCGCGGGGGTACCGCGGAGGCTCGGCCCGGGCACCCCCGTCCACCGCCCCGCCGGTTTGCGATGCGCTGGCGGCACCCGGAGGGGCGAGGGAGGTCTCGCAGCCCTGCCTGCTCGCTCCCCCCTATCCCCAGCAAACCTAATTATTGAGCTAATTATTAAATAAAATGTACTAACCGGACAGCTTCGTGCGTTTATCGCTTTTCTCTGCCGCCAGCTGGCGCGGCTCTCTACCGACTTGGAGGTTTCAATCGTGGCAATAATCCTTCATTATTTCGGTTTTTTGGGGATATTTCAGCCTGTTTGTTAGCTTATAGGCCAATTTCATAGAACTATAGAATCACAGAATGGCTGTGGGTTGGAAGGGACCTTAAAGATGATGTAATTCCATCCCCCTGCCATGGGTAGGGACACCTTCCACCTCAGCCCAGGTTGCTCCAAGCCCCATCCAACCCAGCCCTGGACACTTCCAGGGATGGGGCAGCCACAGCTTCTCTGGGCAACCTGTGCCAGGGCCTCCCCACCCTCACAGGGAACAATTTATTCCTAATACCCAACCTAAATCTATCCTTCTTTGGCTTAAAGCCACTCACTCCCCATTCCCCATTAAATGCACGTTTTTACTCCAAACAAATCTTCCCAAACTGCCAGGCAGTTTCCTACACAGACATTCTAACTGGAAAACACCTAGATGTGGGGCAGTGGGAGGAGCCCATGCTGAATGCAAACCCAAGCCCACAGTGAGCTCCACACCACTTCCACTACTTGATCAATTTATACCTCCCATGGTTCTGGCCATTCCTGCACCAACTGTTACCTCTCCTAGGACAAAACCTCCCCACACTGCCTGCACAAACCAGCTCACACAGAGCAGGTTTTGCCCTTTAAACTTCCCCTTTCAGACAATTACTTACAAACCCATTCTCCATATGCCCAGGCAGATGCTGAGCAGTGAGATTCAGAAAGCTGTGAAAGCTGAAGGGTTTTCTTATTCATCCACTTGGCTCTTTTGCTGCCTTTTATAATCCACAGATTCCTCAAGAGTGCAACTTTTTAGGTGTAAGAGTCACCCAACAAACTGTCAGTATTGTACCAATGGTGATATCATGGAGGATAAGCCAGAAACATCAATACTGGTTGAAAAAGGCAAATTTTCCAGCCCTGTTCTATCCAGATATTTCTGTGAACCTGTACCACAGTGATACTGCTGATAAATAAATCCTTGTAGCAACCAGTGAGGAAGGGAAGTGTTGCTTCTGTTTTAGAAGCGGAGGGGGAAGGATGTCTATCCATCCCCCCCTTTTCTCTGGAGGGGACACAGGTGTCCCAGCCCCAAAAGCAACCACCAAACAACACACCCACCACTCCATAGAGCGAGAAACTGTTCAGTGCCTTCCCTTGAACGCTCTCAAAAAGCACACCTGAAACTTCTGGCAGGCCAAGGGTGCAAAGGGACAGCCTAAAGTCCAAAGCCACACACCCTTCATTAGGTTAATGTTTGCTAAATCACGGGCAGAGCAACGAAAAGGTCTAGCAGATACCAGCAGACTTACGCAAGACAGGAACCAGCTCAAACCCTCCCAGCCCCATCTGCAACCTGCAGACACCTCCAGGGGCCAGAGCTGTGGGGTTTGTCTCACTCCTGCCTTTGTTTTTTTGCAGAGGGATGGGTTTGCTCCTGAAGATTTTCATCCCCTTGCTGGGAGCAGCACTGGCCTTTTATTTTTATTCAGCGCCTCCGGGTTTCAGTGAAGGTAAGTCATGGGAAATGCAACTGCAGGGAGGCTGTGCCAGTGTGGCAGAGCGTGCCATGCCGAGGGGCACAGGCCACTTGAAAGGCCTTTTGGAGCACAGCCAGAGAAGCCAAAGTGTGGGAGGGCTGAGGATTGGGAGGGGAAGGGAGGGCAGGGCAGGCAGCCCCCCCGCGCAAGGGGTCAGAGCACAGGAAAAACTCCCGGGGTTACTCTGGCTCTGCTGGGACACGCAGTGCGTGCGACCTCTGTAAATGACTGACTCGGGAAGCGTGCACTTTCCCACTTCAACCCTTCTATTAGTCAGCTCTCGCCGCTCCCAGGCCAGGCTGGGTGCGGAGCTCGAGCCTCGCATGTGCTCCCCACCAAGCCGGGATGAAGGACCGGGTTCCAGCGGGGTCTGGCGAGGGTTGCACCCCGCGGTGGGGCCGTGCTGCTGCCGGCAGCTCCTGCGCCCCAAGGCGAGGGACGGCAGCGCCAGAGAGGAGCCACAGTGCCCACGTGTGGAGAGACAACGGGGGCTGTGCCGGCTCTGAGCTCCGCGCCCTCCTCTGCAGAGATGCTCCGGGGGAAAAGGGTGATCGTGACGGGAGCCAGCAGCGGCATCGGGGAGCAGATGGCCTATCACCTGGCACGCATGGAGACACACCTCCTGCTCACGGCACGGACTGAGGCCAAGCTGCAGAAAGTAAATGGCAAGCAGAGCCGGGATGGGTGCGGATACCCACGTGGGAATAGCAGAGACCCTCCAGACCCACCCCAGTGTATCATGTTCTAACACACACACACGCACATAGACCACCTCAAAAAAATGCATTTTCAATGCTGACAGCACAGCATTTCCTTCTCTGCAGCCTCTAGCTGGGAATTCTGACCTCCACCACCATGGACAAGGCCTGCTCAAGACCCTGTCTGATCAACCCTCACCCTTTCTCCAATTCTGAGCTGGTTTTGCATCCGGTATAAAACAGAATCAAAATGCTGCCATTAAGCAATCGTATCCCTGTTTATAAATACTACATATTTGGCTCAGATATGCTGTCATTCAAGTCTGCAGACAGAAAAGTTTTCCAAGCAACATGTCTCTTCCCGTAAAGGGAGCAGGGTTTCCAGCAGGACAGGGAGATGTTGCTGAGGCAGCAACAGCCTGGGATGTTGGGAGGGGCTCTGTGAAGGTGAGTCCATGCCAACACCATTCCCACTGTCCCCACAGGTGGTGGAGCGATGCCTGGAGCTGGGAGCTGCCTCCGCCCGCTACATCAGCGGCTCCATGGAGGACCCCTCGTTCCCTGAGGTGGTGGTGAGGGAGGCTGAGAACACCTGGGGTAGGTGCTGTGGAGCTGCCCCTCCTCACTGCCCAGCACATCCCATGCTACACTTTGGGGCCCATTTCAACCCCCAGGAAGCTGCTGTGTCGGGAGGTGCCTGTTGCTGATGGCAAACACGCTCTGCCTGCAGGCGGCCTGGACATGCTGATCCTGAACCACATCGGTCAGTCCGACTTCAACTACTTCGATGGGAACGTTGGGCAAATACGAAGGATCATGGAGACCAACTTCCTGAGCTACGTGGCCATGACCACCTCAGCCCTGTCCATGCTGAAGGAGAGCGAGGGCAGCATCGTGGTGGTCTCATCCATGGCAGGTGAGCACACAAGGGGCCTCTCCCTGCAAGGGATCCCTGCTGTGACAGAATAAGGCAGAGAGCCACCCACTTGGAGTCAGGGTCAGCCAGACCTGGATTCTGGATGCACAATTCAAGTCCTCTGGGAGATTTATAGCTTATATTTTGTCCTTTTAGTCACCCACTAATCACCTTCATGCATAGCACTGCAGTTGTTTTGCATGCAGGGCCACATATTACACATGCATTTGCTGTATGTGGGTATCTCTTCCTGAATACAGGAACAGTATCACCCACAACAGAAGGTACTTCATGCCATATGTTACATTTTAAACATTCCTGCATTTGTTTATTTCCCTCAAGCACTCATGACAGTTTACTCCATCATCTAAATGACAATAATGTAGTTCCTTGAAGGGCAAGAGGAAGGGAGAGCTGTGCAGCCTGGTGCCTGCCCAGTACACGAACCCCAACGTTGTGTCTCTGCTCCAGGTAAAACTGGCTCCCCATTTGCTGCTTCCTATTCCGCAACCAAGTTCGCCTTAGATGGCTTTTTCAGCTCCTTGAGACACGAATTCGTCATGGACAAGGTCAACGTTTCCATCACACTCTGCATCCTGGGCTACATCAACACAGGTGAGCTCAGCACCACTGGGGCCTCCTGACAGAGCCAAGCTGAGCCCACCCTCTGGCTCCAGGCTGCTTTGCCACCACTGCTGGACCCTCTGCCTGCATTGTCTGTCCAATGGTGGGAGCAGGACCCCAACTCTTTAAAAAGCATGGTCTGAGACTTTCGACTCTGCTGTCCTTGCAGGGGAGGTGGAGATTCCACCCTGTGGTCACTCAAGAGGTGGAAAGGAATGGGAAGGGTGTAGCTATAATTGTTATTTTAACTGTCCCAAGCCTTCTTAAGTAGGTCTGATCCCCAGAGTTTGTCAGCTGGAGAATTCTCCAGACATCCTGACAGGTGCCTGTGACAGCCCCTCCCTCTGACCTCACTTCTCCTTCCCCTCCCTGTGCTTCCCACCTTTCCAGAGAGTGCTGTGCAAGCGGTCTCGCACGTTATCCGGGACAAACCAGCGCCCAAGGAGGAGTGTGCCCTGGAGATCGTCAAGGCTGGAGCCCTGAGGCAGCGGGAGCTGCACTACCCACCCTGGGTGGGCGCCGTCCTCCTCCTGCGCGACATCGCCCCAGAATTCCTCGACTCCACCATCAGGAGCAACTACCGCGTGGAAAACCTCAAAAGAACGTAGTCACCAGGGGACAACAAGGGTGCCAGGGCACCTTGGGCTGGGCAGCAGGGGTTTGGGTGTTAATCCAGCTGCTTGGCTGCCCTTTTCCACACCTCCTGGGCAGCCCGTGCTGACACACCCCGGCAACTCACGACAGGACGCTCCAAAAGTCCGTAAGGCGGCAAGAAAATGCCCTTTTTAGTAATGAACTCCTGCAACGGGATTTTTCCAACCAAGAGCACTTCAGGGAAGTCCTGCAGCAGGATCTGCTGCCAGTGTCCTGCTCAACCTCCAGAAACTCCATGGAAAGCCACCACGGCAGAGGCAGCAAGTGCCACAGGTCATGAGCCAGAACAGGGATTTGGGCCAAGCAGCACAAACCACCCAAAGCCACAAGAACCAGCAAATTTTTTGTATCCCTTCTAGGTTGGTCTTTGTAAAAATAAATCCTACGTTACTATGAGATCTCTACAGTTTCCTTGTGTTCCTTTTCCACGTGCACAGGCACAGAGCCCTTATCAGCACCCAGCTGGCTAAACCCACCTCCTCCCGATTTGCATTAACAAAGCTTTCGCTCCTCTAAAGACCTTAATGAATTTCTGCCATTCCTGAGCTCTCCTCAGCTGCCAAAACACGCTTTTTTTCTCCCCCCCCCTCCCTCCTTTCCAATCTGCAAAAACCCTTAAAATAATAGCATTACTGTACTTCCCTAAGTCTGGATTTCTCTACCCCAGAGCAGCTCGGGGAAACCCAGTCACCGAGTGCCACGAGCAGTTCCATGAGCCAGCGCTCAACCCCTGCATGCTGGAGACCAGCAGATGGCCCAAAAGATAATTGTGGGGTCTGCTCAGAGAAAAGCTGGAGAGAGTTTGGGCTCCCAAGATAACCCAAGGGCCCCTGTGTCCCACGAGCCAGGCTGTGAGCAGTGACAGGAACCGGGGCTCGGCTGCAGCTGCAACGTTTCCTGTTTTACAGAGTGAAAAAAGAGAGTGAGGGCAGAAAATGAGGTGGTTGGCACGAAGATGGCAGTTGGAGCGTGTTCATGCCTGATAACACCCTGCCCCTGCACAGCAGCCCAGGGGTAGGACAGGACCCCTTGGGCCAGGTAAGTGTTGGAGCACCCACAGCACCGGGGCCGGTGAGGACTGGAGGGGAGCAGAGACTGAAAGCAGCAACATGCACCTTCTTTCCTCTTTTTTTCACCCCACTTTCAGCCTCCACAACTTGCACCGGGAAGCTGTAACATGAACCAGCAAGAAGCACCTTTTTTTTTTCCTGGTTTCCCTTGAAGCAAGAAGTGTAACAGCTTGGAAAGCACAGATAAAGGACATGTTTAATTAGAGAGGGTGATTTGGGGTAACAGAAGGAGGAAACAGAGTGTTAGCCTGTCAAGAAGGCCTCAGCAGTTTGCTCAGCTCGGGGTGAGTAATGGACTGTGTATTTCTTTGAGCTTTACCTTGCTTTAAAGGGCATTTTTGGTTAAATGAGGCTATTCCAGCCCTGGGACAGGCTGGGCAGCCCAGAGGCAGTGCAGGTGGGAAAGGGGCTGAGCTATTCCTGATGGGAGGAGATGGATGAGTGCAGACTGGGCAGGACATTTAACTGAACCTTTCCTAAAACTCAGCAAAATCAGTTGAAAAACGCTCACCACTCGGAGCAGTGCCCTGGCTGGGGCTTGTGAGCACCTGACCACCCAAAAACAATGTGCTCCTTCCAAAGGAAGCCCCTACAGTCAAATATGGCAACAGGAATGAGCTTTGAGCACTCCAAAGTGAACACAAGGCCGATTAAAAGAATTACAGAGCAGATTTCAATGCAGACTCAAACGCACGGAAGTATTTTACGTGTAAATGGGACTTACTAGTTCCCATTTTTTTCCCCACCATTAGACTCAATAACTTCCTAATTGCTTGAGAGAGAATGAGACCAGTGAAGTTTTCATGGTTTTTGTTTCATACTGAAGAACATTTAACCTGAATTTTCAGATACTAAAATTCCTCTTTTTTTTGTTTGGGTAGTTCTTGCTCAGCTTTCCCTTTAACTGATGCAGAGGCAAAGACTCAGAATCCAATTAGGAATAACACAGTGGTGACTTGCAACTGTGCAGAGAGGTCATGAGGAGGGAGGAGGTTCCATACCCACATCCTGTGCACACATGTAGACAGTGCAACAGTGCTGGAATGGAGGATCTCCTCCTTTGGCCATGCCACTGCCTGGTTTGGGCCCCAAATTCCCCAGAGATGGGGCAGAATTCATGCCTGAGGCAAACTAAGAGCGTGGACCCCCAGTCTTTGAGCACGGCTTAACAATTAATTAATCCCAAGGAATAATGATTGGTCTCTACACTTGTATGTGCTTAGGACTGTGCCCTCTTGTCCTGCTGCTGGTTGCCTGGGAGAAGAGCCTGATACCCATCCATCTACACCCTCCTGCCAGGGATTCATAGAGGTTCCTCTCCAGCAACATTTACATCCACTGTCTGAGGACTCCAGAACCAAACACCTCACACTTATCACTAAATCTTAGAATCAACTAGTTTTGACTCAAATGGTGTCTTTTCCCTCAGTTTCAGCCAGGACAGAGGACCACAGGGAGGTGAGAGCCCAGGATGATCAGCCAGCCCGGGGGGGCCCGGCCGCGGCGCTCGGGCGAGAGCTACGAGGAGAAGTGCGAGCGGCGCCACGAGATCAGGGAGAACCTGCGGAGGAGGAACAACCTGACCACCTGCCGGCACCTGCCCAGGGGAGCAGAGCAGCCACTCCAGAGCCCACGCCAAAGGGAGTTCCTGAGGAGGAGAAACCTGGCAAGCGAGGTGGGAAGGGCACCCCCGAGGCAGGAGCCTGAGGCGCAAACCCCATCGGACTCCTCGGTCCTGCTCCAGGTAACACCTGCCCCTGGGGCACAGCTCAGCACCCACTGGAACACCAGGATCCAAATCACAGTGCCAGCCAAACAGTGAGATTTGTACAGACAGAAGCACGTATTTCCTCATGCCCTGCAGAGTCAGGTGTGGGCACACATTGTCACCCCCCTGAGTTCCCCTCTCCTGTTTTATGAACCCCTGAACCAGACATTTTCTGCCATTCCTCCGAGCACAACCCCACATCCCGGCTGCCAGGCTACAGGTTTGCACTTACACAGGTTATTTTAGCCTTGCTAAGCGAGCTCCAAGCACCTGGGTTGCCTCCAGTCACCTCTGCTGTTGGCAGGAAGGGTGGAGGGATCAGGAGACTCCCTGGCACTCGCTGCCTGCCCTGTGCTGCACAGCTGACAGTGACCCAGAGGGCTCTGTCTCGAACAACATCTGTGGCAGGTTGCAAAACACCCCAGTCAGAACCAAACAGATTTCCTTCTAAACTTCTATCCGTGTAAAATGAACCATTCTCTGGCAGGCTGAGTTCATCCCCGGGGGCTTCACAAACTCACTTGAGCCCAGACAAACACGAGGTGACTTAGACGGGCACACCCTCAAACTTCCTAGCAATTACCAGCCTCCTGCTGCCATTTGGTTCATCAGGTTCAGTCACAGGAATCTGGAACAGGCATTTACACGCTCACAGGGCCTCCTCTATTTACTCCTGCAGAGATATCAAGGCTCCAGCCCTGGGAGAAGCCAGTGCACAACTGGCACCTCTGCTCCAAGGCAGCCAAATGGCAGCAGAGACCCAAACCAGGACCCATTTCCCTGCCACCCAAAGTCCTCACCTTTACCAAAAAGATCTCAAGACACTTAGAGGGGATTCCTTGTCCTGTTCTGGCGTTGCCACTCCCCCCACCCCAGCAGCCAGCTGGTTTTTCGCCCACTTCCCCACAAAGCTCTGGAGCTGCTGCAGCCAAAGCAGCAGATCCTTGTGGATTTGCCATGGTTTCTTGGTGCTCTTCACCCAGTCACCACTGCTACAAAGCCTGACCAGGCCTTAACCCCTTCCCCTCAGCCTGTTTTGCAGAGACACTGCCTCAAGCTGCCCTCTCATTCCAGGACCCGTGGAGCTGCCCCACATCACCCCCTGCACAGTCTCTGCTCTGCCTCAGCATCCCCCTTGGCATCCCTGCAGAAACCATTCCTGGGCAAAGTGTGAACACCCAAGGTAGGTGAGGGGTGCTCAGCTTTCCCAGCACAGCAGCATCCACATCTCCACCATCAAACTCCTTGGGATGAGCTGGTGGCTCCCCTCCAGCCCCAGCTCCCCAGCCAGGTTTGACCATCCTAGTGTGAGCTTCCCCTGAACACTGCAAGGAATTAGGAATATTTTTCCCATGGAGGGATAAACCAGCCCACAGCTTAACCCCCAGTGCTGCCGAGCAGATGCTCTGCCCTACAGCTTCCCTATCAGTGTCCCAACATCATCCAGGGCTCTGGGGACTGACTTCACTGCAGGATTACTCAACTTCTACTTCTCTGCCCATCAGAGCAGGACATTTCTTTGCCTTTTGTCCCTGTTGAGTTGTCACTGGACACTAAAAGACAAAGTTCCTGGCCCCTCAGACAGGGGGATCATTCACATCCTTTCACTCTGCATTCCTAGGAACACAGACCCTTGCAAGCCCACGAGAAGGAGTGAAAGACTCGAGCCAGCAGACAGAGTAAGTTGGTCCTGCCCTCCCTCCCTGGGCTGTGAATTCAGATCCCACAGGGCAGCAGCTTCCCAAGCCCAAAATTCTCCCCCTCAAAGAGGCACAAGCTTTTGCTGCACAAAACCTCAGCTTGGGTGGGGGTGACAGAGGGTGTCCAGCACCACAGGTGGCTGCAGACCCCCAGCACACACCTCAGTAACACACTTTGTTTTTTTTATTTCAGCTGTGGAGCAGCAGTTTTTAATAAGGTAAGCAAAACAGTTTTCCAAGTGGCTTTCAGCTGAAGAAGGGAATATTTAGAGGGGATATAAGGAAGAAATTTTGTTACTCTAAGGGTGGGGAGGCCCTGGCACAGGTTGCCCAGAGAGGCTGTGGTTGCCCCATCCCTGAAAGTGTCCAAGGCCAGGCTGGATGGGGCTTGGAGCAACCTGGGCTAGTGGGAGGGGTGGAATGACATCATCTTTAAGGTCCCTGCCAACCCAAGCCATTCCATGAATTTCTGACTGGGACACTGAGTGGTGCTAAATTTCTCTGTTTTCCGAAGTTGTGACACTCCTGCTATAGGAAAGGCACTGCTGTCCCATGGATTTCTGCTCTTCTCACTCAGCACCTGCCCTGATGTCACACAGTGCATGGCAAAAGTGCCCCATCTCCAATACAACCAGTGGTTGTAAAAGTATTTTCATTTCCCTGGAAAAAACCCCACGCAAACAAACCCCAGCAGGCTCTCCCCCACCATGCAAATATAGGTTGTTAATTCACTTTATTTCAAAATATTTAGATTATGCACCCAGATCATTAAGTGTTTATAAACTGATCTAATCCTATTTTTAACCATCTGCCCTTTCCCCTACAGGAAATGATGCAGCTGTCCAACTACCTGAAGGTGGGTACCAAACAGTGTTCAGCACCCACTGGGAAAGCTGGTTTTCATCAAGAATAATACTTTAAAAATATCATTATTATTATTATTATTATTATTAAATGAAGGGGTTTTACATGCCCAATTTTAACTCCCTTCCCCACAGGAGGCTCTGCACGGGAGCTGCTGCTCAAGCAGAAGATGATGATTTTGCAGGAGCTTTTCTCCACACTGCTGGAAGCCTCAGAGAAATCCTGGCAGGTAACAGAACACCCCAAAAAAACGCATCTTGTGTAATATATTAAGCTTTTCTACAGGATTAATTTAATTTCTAGTTCATTGTGCAACTAAAAAAAAAAAAAAAGTGGTTTGAAAGTTCTGTTGGGGTAGAAAAGCCAGCGATTGGGTGAGAGGGCACGGAAACCTTGTGTTAGACATCCTGTGGTTTTGAAGCTTCCTCCTTCATTTGCTTCTTCAAATATAACATGAGCAGGAAAAAAACACCCTGCCACACTCTGCAGGAAGTAGCCATGAAACCTCAGGTTAGAAACAGGTGGGTGCTCTTTGCTGCTCCTTGTCCCTGCTGCCGAAAGAGAGGCTTTGCTGCTGCCTCCTTGCACCCCAGCTTTTCATCAGCCTAAAAATTATTTACTGGGTGCTGGAGCCAGTGGTGCTGCTTGGAGGGGATTCCTGGAGCCACATGAGGGGCTTTCTCCAGGGGATGCTGGCAAAGGGAGGGGTGGAGAGGTCCTACCCCATAACACTGCTGTGCAAACTGATGGTTGGCTGCCCCTTTTCCAGCTGAGGTGCCAAACACTCGTTGCAGCAGCTTTTTAATCTTCCCTAGTTATTTTGAGTTTCAAAGAACACACATGAAATGATATTGGAGCTCCTGGAATGGCCAGAGAGTTCATTTCTGAGGTGCTGCTCGTGTTCCTGGGTGCTTCTGGCTTGGTGGAGCAGGTGAACACATTCTGCAGGAGGATGGGGGTGGCAAACTCAAGGGGTAAAGCATTTGGTGACTCCTTCCCCCTCCCACGATTCCACTTCTAGGTTAGAGAGCTCTTCCTACCCCAGGTGTGTGCCTTAAATCCCCCCATCTGCTGCAAAACTCAACAGATGAGGGATGCTAAGACATGGTTATGACTATCAAGAGGAATTCATTTTAAGCTATTCTCTTCTTAAAAGAAAATTGCTGCTTTAATGTATTTTTCTCCCCTTCCTGGCATTTGAAGCTGAACCTGATTTTTGGAAATACCACAGAACTCTGCAGAGTTTAAGCTCTTTGCCATTTCCAGCACATCACTGCTGCTATATGGAATGATTTTTCCAGCACGAGCATCGTGCTTGGGCAAACTGGAAGCTTTCCAGAAACAGCATTTATTATTATAACCTTCCACCAGCTATCTAAAATGACTAAGGGAAGCAGTATCAGAGAATTCCCCAATCACAGGACAACCAAAGCACTGCAGCTGTCAGCCAAAGGCAGTTTAAAATACTTAAATGGTACTTAAATGACAGCAGTAGAGTCTGAGATTTGGAGCTGCTTGTTCAGGTAACCTCAGACTCTGAAAAAACAGGGCTGTAGAAGTACAAAAAAAAATATTTTTTTTTGAGTGTATTTTGAGCACATTAGCCCTATTCCTCAACCCTGCCTGGCTTATAGGAGGTGACTTGGGGCTCTCTTGATGATGGGGGCTGTAGGGTTCTGTACAAATTTAAACAGTGCCAAGACACCAGGGAATCTGGTTTTGCTTGGGTCTAACAGCTATTCCTGTAACATCAAGGGGTTTCTTTTCAGAGGTGTGACTTCAAAGAGCAGTGAGGATACTGATGTTCTCAGCACTGGTGGTAGAGAAAACAGCCTATGTGATCTCTTTGCTGGAAATTTCATCCGAATTTGCATCACTCTGGTTTCACAAAGCCCAAGCAGCCTGACTAACACCGAGAGGAGATGGTGATAACAAGCAAAATGAATCATCACTGCTGCCCTCTATCCCCCTGCCCAACTGCAAGATGTTGCAACACAGGCCCGACCTATTTTCTAAGGGAACCAGCAAGTCAGGACTGTCACACCAGCTGGAGCTTTAGGAAGGGAGGGACCACGAGCCAGGGAACAAGGCTCTGCACAGGGACCCTTCCAGACTCAAATCCCCTCCCTCTTAATTTATAATTTCACTGCCAGCACCTGCACTCAGTAACCAGTGAAACTGCCTCAGCACAGTTTTTCAACCCATAAAACTTTTGTTTCCCCCATATCCCATTTATCTGGAGATCACAAAGGTTCACCTGAACTTCAGCACTGAAGAGGACTCTGAACCAATACAGCCACAATATTACAGATGAAGGGAAAAAATGAATCAAAACACAAACTAACAAAAGATTAGGGACATATTGAGTGGTTCCTGGTTTCACATGTCAGTTCAATTGTGATTTTTTTTACCCAGGGTCAGCTGAATGAAGACAAACTGAAGTGTAAACTAAGGGCCCTTGAAAATCAGCTGCAGGCTTGCACCCAGGTAATGTCTGAGTCACTGAGAAACACAGAGGGGGAAGAAAGGCATGGAAACCAAACATCAAACCATGTAATTGGGTCGGGTCTCAGCTTCCAGATCAATCAGATTAGATATGTATCCAAAAAGGATTTTTCCTCTTTGCTGAAGCAATGCTCCACAGCAAATCAGCAGTAGCATTTACACACTCTGGATTTGCTAATCTTTAGGTTTGACAAGGTTAGGAATCTGTCAGGGAAGACCCTTCAAGCACTTTATTTCTCCCTTTAAAGAGCTACTCCAAGGAGTGTGTGAAGAAGATCCTGATAGAGATGGAGGACCAGAAGCAGACCTACGAGCAGAAGGCAAAAGAGGCTCTTCAGAAGATGCTGGAGGACAAGCTCCAAACAGAGCAGCAGCTGCAAAACTCTCAGGTGAGGAACATGTTTTACACCTGGCTTGGCTTCAATTTAGTGCAGCCATGACAAACAAAACACATGTCAGGGGAAAAGGTGATGACAGGCTTATCCTTAGCAACAAAGATGCAAAAATATGATGTTTCAGCTACTGAGTAAAGCCCAAATCAGCTTAATGCTTTGACATGTGCTCACTGTGTGAGCTGCACACCAAGTTGTTAAAACCAGCTCACAGCTGGGGAAATGTACTGCTCTTTGTCAGCTTAAATTGTAATCCCTTCTCCTCCACCATCCCTTTGTCCCATTCCCTGCTCTGCACACACAAAGGACAACGAGCCACACACACAGAGACATCCAGGGCATGAGGACACCAGAGATGCTTAGATGCTTTTTCTGGAGTCGCTCTTTTATATGAAAATAGATGGTTCCCCCCTCCACTTCCCAAGAGGCAGTAGTTTTCTTTAACCCACAGGATAACTGGTATTTGCAGAAAAACAAGTAAATCTTATGCCAAGTACTACCAGGCTTCTCAAGCCTGCTGGGAGCATGGGAATTAGCGTTCCACAGGGAACACTCTGCCCATGTTTGCTCTGTCCATCAGATGGCATCAGCCCCACACAGGTTATTGTATATATATATGTGTGTGTGTGTGTGTGTATATATATATATATATCCCTGGTGCTGCAGGAGGCAGCACTGCCCCAGCACAGCCCAGCTGATGGCATCCAGGCCAGCCTGCCACCATCCCACCCCAAGCTGTGGGTCCCAAACCACTCATGGGTCCTTGCTTTCTTCCCTAGAGGAGCTTGGCAGCGACCAGAGAGGACCTTGCCTTCTGGAAAGAGCATGACAATGCTCTCAAAGCCGAACTGACCAAGGTGACCACGGCCCACACCGAGCTCAAAACCAGCTTCCACAGCTTACAGAGTGAGCTGCAGGTACGTTGATTGCCTGCAGGAACAGCCTCCACACGGGAGTTCATGCTGGGTCACCCAGAGAAGCTGTGGCTGCCCCGTCCTTGAAGTGTTCAAGGACAGGTCAGACAGGGGTTGGAGCAACCTGGGCTAGTGGAAGGTGGCAGGGGGGTGGAACAAGATGAGCTTTAAGGTCTTTCCATCCCAACCCACCCCATGATTCTGTCCTGGCCGCAGAGAGCAGAGGCACAGAACGAGGAGCTGCACCGGGCGCTGCAGAGCCTGCGGAGCGAACACACCGCGCTCCACCTGAGAGCCACTGCCCTGAGCCAGGACAACGACCTCAAGGCCCAGCACATCACTGCCATCGAAGGTATTGTGTGCAGGGAATTAGTGCCAAATCTGTCCTCTGAAAAAAGCAGAGAATATGAGGAAAGTACTCTTGAAACTCTGGTCCTTAAAGCCACGCACAAGACTCGCTCGTTTTCAATGTGCTGTACACCTCAAAAGCTCCTGATTTCCAGAGGGCCCCTAAAGCTATTTCCAACTAGATTAAACGACTTCAGAGAAGTCAAGTGACTTTGCTAGAAGAAAGGATGGCCTGGCAGACCTGAAAAAAATAAAAAAAAAAAAATCAAAGCTGAGCTCTCAGCTTTGATGAGGACCTTGCATCCTTCCAGACCCATCAAACACAGCAATGCAGTGCCTGTTACTGTCTGAGGTGCTGCTTGTGGTGGATATTACCAGCCTATAAATATCAGCTAACAGTGTCCTAGACCACTGATTTGGATAGAGACAAGCAGACTTCATGTGGCTATTTTAAAATAGAATTAAGAAAGAGCAAATGGGTGGCAGCTCTAATTTCATAATAAGTCCCAGACAAACAGCTTTAAAATAAACCATAAATTAGTAGAATGTAAGGCACACTGGAAAAAGCTGCCAAAACCAAAAGGGCAATTAACAGCTAAAAATCACATCCCTTCAGAGAAGAAAGTTTAGTGTAGCCAACAATTATCTGCTCCACTTTACACACGTGGAGAATGGGAAAGTCGCCAGTCTTGCATAAAGACACAGAGATTTACACCAGCCTTGATTTCCCTCTGTCATTATTTCAGATAAACTGCAAAAAGAGCAAAAGCAGAAGGTAATGCTGGAGGCAACAGTCAGCCACTTGCACAGTGAGTAACACAGAGAGGCACAAGGTAAGAGGCCTTTGTAGGTGCTGTGAACAATAATGTGGCTTTCTGGGTTCACAGACTTGATCCAGAACAACCAACAGACGAGCCAGGAGGTGGCGGTGCAGAGGAAAGGTCAGCAAACTTTGTAAGCCCCAGCTAGCACTCACTTGGACACAAGGATGTTAGTCCTGGCTCTAGGGGAAGTCTACACTGGTTTAGAATAAAGGATTATTTTAGAGCTGCACAAAACGAGTTATTATATTTTGCTAGTTAACATTAAAACAGAAATGTATTTATGATGGCAAACATATTTAAAATAAACGGATTTCATTGCAAATTCTACTTCAGCGGCTATGCCATTTTTTTCCCCCCAAACAAAACACATTCCAGTTTATAATTGCAGTTACAGCTGTACTTGGAAAAAAAAAAAGTAATAAAATGCATTTTAAATCTTCCTCCCCTCCATTTCTGGCAACTACTTAGAAAGATTGCTCTAAATATTATTAACATGTAGCTACAGCAGAGACAGGCCTGTGATAATGATAACGAACTGAGCTTCTGCTGTGTGTGTAACACATAAATATTATCCTTAAACTGCTGAGTAATCAAGATGTAAAGCAAACACAGAGCCTGGACCTGTTTCTCATCAGCAGCCTGACTGTTTTCTAGACCAGGTTTTCACCACCCAGACCCCACCTCTCACTCCTGCCAAGGAAAACCAAAACACTCTGTTAGAGCACCCTGAGGAGGAGGAGGAGGGAGAAGAAAGTCTGAAGGATGAGATGCAGAAAAGGACATCCCAGCTCACAGCAAAGGAGAACGAGGTGAGGAAATCACTGAGTTGTTGCTGGTTTAACAGCTCCAGCAGCAACACAACACACCAAAGGTCCTAGAGGTAACCTCAACTTGGTGTCCCCTGTAAGGATTCTCCCTGCTGAATTTTTATCCTGATACCAGCCTTGCCTAAATCTCCAGTAAAGCACCTCCATGGAAGGACAAGGTACCAGCAGCCCTTGGCTGTAGCAGCAGAGCCCTCTCCATACAAACATTTCTGTTGCCAAAGGTGAGAGTTTCAAAAACCTCACAGGAAATAGCCACTTTAAGGACCAAAATGTTAAACACAAATGAAGGAGAGGAGGAAAAGAAAAGGCTTGCAATAATAACAACAATAATAAAAATCACAGACAGGTTCTGCCAAACAAAAGCACTGCCCTTGCCACTGGGCTGCAAAAAAAATCCAAGCCTTTCCAACCTTTTACACACTCCTTTCCATCAACCCATCCTTCTACCAACTAACAGCCCCACAATTCTTACAGCAGTGTTCAGACAGCAAGGATTTATCAAAAAAGGACTTGTAAAAAATAGCTTATAACTTACTGTAGCAGAGCTGAGAGCCACACAGGAGAAGAGCTTGTCATGCCAGACCATAATGGGGAGAAAAGCAGCACCACCAACTATCACCCAGCATGCCCTGGGGAAGGGTTTATAAAGCACAATCACAGTAAGAGGGAACAGCTGGGGAGAGGGTCCAGCTGCCCCCTCTTTGGCTCCTGAAGCCTCTGGGCAGCTCCTTCCACAGCTGCTGCCAATGCTCTGCTCATCAGAATGGCAACAGGGTCTTGTGCCATGGGCACTTCAGGAAAGGGCCCTCCTTGGGTTTTGGGGTTGTGCAGCACAACCAAGCTGCCTGCCCCATGTGTCCAACATCTCAGAGGGTTTAAAGGACTCTGGGATTACTGTCAGGGTCGGTGGAGTGCAGAATGAATTTCAGAATGAGAGGCAAACCCTGACAGGAGTTTGCACTCCCTGTCTTCTTCCCGGTCATAAAAATCGCTATCCCTCCTTTGTCCCGTGGGACGTGAAGGTTGGCAGCAAAGCCAAGCAGGTCACGGGGTGGTGACAGACTGGGCACTGCCTCCACCACCACATTCCCAGTAACCCCGAGCTCTGCTCTGTTCCCTGCAGGTGCTCACGGACACACAGGCAGCAGGAGCCAGACCCCCCCGTCCGGGCGGTGCCCGCGCGCGGGTGAAGCGCTGCAGCCTCTGCGGGGGCCCTGCCAGGCTGCCTGGGTACAAAAGGGAGGGGACCCCCGGTAACACCCCCTTGCTGTGCTTGCAGTGCTGGGAGCTGCGCTCGGAGCTGGAGGCCCTGAGCGAGGAGTACCACTCGTGCCTGACCAGGCTGCGCCAGTGCCGGGACGAGCTGAACCGCTCCCACAGCCAGCAGGCCAAGGTGGGAGCCCCCGACCCCAAATCCCAGGGCTGCACATCAGCTTGGGAAAAACCCCCTCAGTGTGGAAAGATCAGTGACGTGTTAGCTGAGGGGTGAGATGAGAAGTTTCTTCTCCGGCAACGGGACCTGAGGGAATGGCCTGGAGTTGTGTCAGGGCAGGGTTAGGTTGGGCATTAGGAAAAGGTTCGTCCCCCAGAGGGTGGTTGGGCACTGAACAGGCTCCCCAGGGCAGTGGGCACAGCTCCAAGCCTGACAGAGCTCAGGAAGCATTTAGATGATACCCTCAGACACGTTGGGGATGGTTCTGTGCAAGGCCAGGAGTTGGACTCGATGATCCCTGTGGTCGCTTCCAACTCGGCACATTCTGCGAAATTCCTACCAACACTTGCTTCTCCCCACAGAGGCAGCATTGTCACTGGATCCCCCTCCTGCTGGCACTCACAGCAGTGGCCATTGCCACCTTTCTGGCAAGTTACAGACCGTGAAGAGCCTCCTTGATGACTGACTTTACTGCTGGAACTGACTGTGCTTCCCCAAAAGTCACGACCTCGCCGCAGTGCACTATCTGCTGTTTTGTACCTGCGTGTTTGGTTCATATCCTGAGCTGGTCTCACTCCAGACAAACTCCCAATAAATGCTGGAATATCAACCCCTTCCCTCAGGTCCTTTGGTTATTCTGTTCCAGCTGAAGGTTGCACTGCCCTGTCCCCCATGGCACTGAAGGACAAAGCCACTCTGGTCATCAGTGACAGGTCTCACACAGGGAGAGAGGGACAGGGCATCCCACGCCCTCGGGATCCAGCCTCCCTGCCTTTTTTGCCCCCAAAATTCTCTTCCTCTATTTACTGTCCCTCTCTACTTGTACCTGACAATGAAACCTGGCTCAGGGAGGCTCTTTAGCACAATCCCCTTGTTTTCCCCCCCATTCCTGTTTTGAGCAATTTTTCCACCTCCCATCCACCAGGCCCTGGCAGGTTTTACAGAACTTGACCCTCACTCATGCAGAGGCTCAGCTACAACCCAGTGCATGACACCACCTCATATGAGCAGTAAACACAACATGGAGCCTCCAATAAACTTCACAAATTCAAAGTACTGTGGTGTTCAAAGTTTTTATTCACCCTCAGCTGCTCACAGCAAATAAATACACCCTTACAGGGCATGAATCTGCAGGCAGGACTGAGGCTGCAGAGCAGCTGTGAGCACACACATCCACATACGTGTCTTCTTTCAAGTGCATGTATTTGTTTTGCCACTGTCCCGTGAGGTCGGGAGCCTGAAACTGTCACAATTCAGCCTTCGGTGCTCAGGGGCCAAGAGATGCAGTGGATCATGTACAGAGGAACTGGATCTTTTGTCTTGGTCCCCAACATAGGGAAGGCCAAAAAGTCCGAGTTTGCTCATGTTTTACAAGGCAACTGCTGGAAGAGTCACGACCTCGCTGGAAATGCAGAGATCCACAAAGTCACTCTGTGCACTGAATGCCTCCTTCAGCTCATCACACCAGGCATCCAGCACCTCGCCCAGCTCCGTGCAGAGGCTCTCTGGGATGCTGAAGGAGTAAATCTGGACCGTCAGACCGTCCTTTATCCTGGGGCAGGAGGCCTGGACCGTGAACACCCTCAGCGGTGTCAGCGCCAGGCAGTTCTCGGTGCCCTCCTCCCTGGAGAAGGTGTACACTGCGGGGTACCCCAGCAGCACCCCAACCACGGTGCACAGGTTCCAGTCCTGGGGCACAACCTCGCTGCAGGACACCGGCCCGGCGCTGGCGGCCTCAGCATCCCGCAGGTGGCTCAGGAGGGAGGCGAGGTGGCCCCTGATGGCCTCAGCCTCCGCCGCCCCGCAGAGCGCCGGGCATCTCCTCCCGGCGGAGACATCCACGAAGGGCGCGGGGCGGGCGCGGAGCATCCCCTCCAGCCTCCCGCGGGCCAGCGGCGGGTGCAGCAGCAGCAATGCCGAGCCCTCCACGCCCAGCACGTGGATGCGGCGCGGGGCCAGCCCCGCAGCCCGCAGCCCGCCCAGGTACCGCCGCAGCTCGGCGGGGCCCGCGGGCCCGCACTCCCAGAGCAGCGCCGGCTTCAGCCCCGCCGCCACCGCCAGCACCTCCCCGGCCGCATGCAGGGCACGGGCAGCCGGCAGCCGCCGCCGCCGCGCCGCCCTCGGCCCGCTCCGTGTCCCCAGAGCATCCCGCGCCGCCGCCACCAGCAGCGCGGGGGACAGAGCGGGGCTCCCCGGGGCCATGGGGACACCGCGGGCACCGGCGGTTCCGGGGAGGAGCTCACCGAGCACGGCCCCGCTCCCCGGGGCGGAGCTCACCGAGCACGGCCCCCCTTCCTCGGGGCGGGTCTGACCGAGCACGGCCCCCCTTCCTCGGGGCGGGTCTGACCGAGCACGGCCCCCCTTCCTCGGGGCGGGTCTGACCGAGCACGGCCCCCCTTCCTCGGGGCAGGTCTGACCGAGCACGGCCCCCCTTCCTCGGGGCGGGTCTGACCGAGCACGGCCCCCCTTCCTCGGGGCGGGTCTGACCGAGCACGGCCCCCCTTCCTCGGGGCGGGTCTGACCGAGCACGGCCCCCCTTCCTCGGGGCGGGTCTGACCAAGCACGGCCCCGGTCCCGCCCGGCCCCGGGCGGAGCGACCTTCCCGGGCGGAGCCGTGGACAAGGAAAAGGCTGTTTGGGGAGCAGAAAGCTCAGAGCTCGGGGAGGGAAAGGCACGGACAGAGGGCAGCGCAGAGGGGTGATGTGATATTACAGCTTCACAGAACCACAGAATGGTTGGGGTCTTTCCCAGAGCCTCCTCTTCTCCAGGTGGCTTCTCGGAGTTTGCAGAGGTGTTGTTTTTTTTAAAGACAAATTCCTGTGTCACCTGCTCCAGGTGACCCTGCCTTGGCAGGGGTGTAGGACTGGATGAGCCCCAGAGGTCCTTTCCAACCCTAACAGCTCTGTGATGTATGCATTTACGTTGCCTGCATATACACCCCTACATCCACCCCTATAAAAAAAGCACAGTAGAGGAAGAAGCATCAGCAGCCCAGCTTGCTGCTACAGCCCAGTTAAAGAGAAAAAAACTAGACAAGGTGATATTCTCAAGGCAGTTTTAATAGAGCAGATTATTTTATCTTCCCCCCTCTAATGATCAAGTGCTTATATACAATGTATCAATAGCAGATTAAAAAAAATATTACAGAATTGAAAATCTGATTTATACACTGGGGTTGCTTAAGCAAAACAGCTGAAAAGGGTGAAGGAGTCAGAAGCATTCCTGTAAACCCCTCAGTTTAAAGGCTTCCAGAACAAAAAGCACCTAGGAAATTATGGAATCAGATGGCCAGATTTACAGATTTTATTTATTCAGGTTCAGGCAAGGCACTGGTTAAGAAACACTTTTCTATATGTACAACGGAAAGAAACCCCCAGGGTGGGGCAAAGCCAGGGGTTATGTCACTGTGCCGGGAGCGGCTGTGCCATGTGCAGGGGGGGTGCCTGCATGGGCCACCCCTCCTGGTGGTTCTGCAGCAGCCTGTAGAGCTGCTTCAGGTGGGCCACGATGTTGTCCTTGATGTCAGGGGTGGAGATCTGCAGCCTCACGCTGCCGCTGTCGAAGGAGCGCGTGAAGTCACCCGAGAACATCTCGTAGATCATCCGGGCCACAACGGGGATGACCTGTTTGAGAAGGAGTCATTTGTTTCAGGCCGGTGGCACACAGAATAACCCTGTTGTTTTGCAGGAAGCCCCCTGTTCTGGATGCAGGGGATGGTTTCCACAATAATCTAAAGAGCACTCACAGACTTATTCTATCCAACACATGTAATGTTTGTATCAGCTCTCCCCAAATCCACAAGCCCTTACTGGGGTTTTCCCAGTGTCAGAAGCCACAAGTCTCCAGTATCCATGGGCACTGATCCAGAACCAACTCACCAAACCCAACAAGGCTGGCACAGAATCAAGTAGGTTAGAAAAGATCCTCTGAGATCCTCGAGTCCAACCTGTGACCAAACACCACTTTGTATGTGTCACCTCAGAGACTCAGCTCCTACCTGCACCACAATCAGCTTCCTCTCCCTGGGCTTGCCATCGGGCCACTCTTCTCCAAAACAGAAGTAGATCTCATAGGGTGGCTGTTTCTCAATTTGTCCTTTCTGATGGGCAATCAGCTCTGGGAAGAAAAGCAGAATGCTGCAGGGTTGTCCTCTGCCAGTTAGAAACATCACATCCCACCTCACTGTATCATCCCAGGTCTTGCCTACACACTGTCCTTTGCCACCTCTTACACACACACACACACAATTACATATTATTTCTTGCACCCAGAGAGCTCTCTTTAAAAGCAAGGTCCTCCAATGTCTTTCAGAGCATTAAATGAGTTTACATTCCCTTTCTTCTGGCCCCAACCCACACTCCATACACAAACAAAATAAACAATGTACCCAGACCAACCCTTTCCAACAGTGCCACCGAGTGCCCAGATCAGCACCCGAAGCTATTCCCCAGAAGCAGAAGTTACCTACCGCTCAGGAATGTTTCCAGGCAGAAGAGTTTGACTTTCTTCTGCCTCTCAATCAGGTTTGGTGTGGTGGAGGAAGGCGCACAGGGCCCCGACCAGTACACCTTGCACTGGCAGAGCCGCACGGCGTAGATGGCGTGGCCGCTGACCTCCAGGATCAGGCCCCTGTCCATAACATCCAGCAGCCGACTCGTGAAGATCTTCTGCTTTTCGTTGGTGATTTGCTCTGTTCCTGGAAACTTCACTTGCTCCAAACTGATGGGCCCAAAGAGCTCCTCCTGGTCTGGCATAGGGCCCAGCTCTCCATAGAACAGTCTGCATCCCTGAGGGTTGCTCACGGTCGTCGTGGGTCCAGTCTCCTTCCCTCGATACTCAAACTTGATTTCTAGGTCTGTCACTGAGAGAGAAACTGTCACTGTGGCTTGTCCCACATGTTCAGCATCAGCAGCAGAGACACACCATGGAACCACAGAATCACAGAAATCCTCAAATGGTTTGGGTTGGAAGGGACCTTAAAGATCATCTCATTCCAGCCCCTGCCTTGGGCAGGGACACCTTCCACTAGCCTAGGTTGCTCCAAGCCCTGTCCAACCTGGCCTTGGACACTTCCAGGGATGGAGCAGCCACAGCTTCTCTAGGAAACCTGTGCCAGGGCCTCCCCACCCTCACAGGGAGGAATTTATTCCCAATATCCAGTCTAAACCTGCTCTTTTTCAGTTTGAAGCCATTCCCCCTTGTCCTGCCACTACATGTCCTTATGAAAAGTCCCTCTCTTTCTTGCAGGCTTCCTTCAGGTACTGGAAGGCCACAATTAGGTCACCCCAAAGCCTTCTCTTCTCCAGGCTGAACAACCCCAATTCCCTCAGCCTTTCCCCACAGCAGAGCTGCTCCATCCCTCTCATCAACTTGGTGTCTCCTCTGGACCTGCTCCAACAGCTCCACGTCCTTGCTGTGCTGTTGTTCCCCAAGAGCTGGAGGCAGCTCTGCAGGTGAGGTCTCACCTGAGTGGGGCAGAGGGGCAGAATCCCCCCTCCCCTGCTGCCCAGGACAGGGTTGGCTTTCTGGACTGTAACAATCCACTCTACAGTCACAGGAACGTTCAAACTCTACACAGTTGTTCCAAACAAGCAAACAGCCACAGGGAAAAAAAGTCAACCACTGGGGTTTTTTTAAAGCACAGTGGCAGAAGCAGTATGGCAAACCCACACACATACTTGGCAGAGAGCTGATCCAGAGCTCAGGGCTGCTGAAGAAGTCGTGCTGCAGCGCAGTTGGGGGCATTTCCATATCCAGAGGTTCATTCTTTGGCCACACAGCTTCAGGGCTGCAGTTTTCTGCAGTGCCTGGAGCCATTGGAGATTCTAAAAAAAGGCAGCAGTTCTTCAGTAAACCAAGATCTTACTTCAAGCATGCACCAATTTACAAATAAATAGCTTCAATAGTACATTAGTCTGTGCCACCAACCATTGATATTAAGAAATGGAAATGTCTCTTGAATAGGGACGTGTTGAGATTGATTCAATTCTTCCTCTTCTTCATCATCAAGATCATTATCCTTTTCATCCCACGGAGCTGAGCCAGTGGAACCTGAAAGCAAGCACATTCTTGTGGGTGGATGGTCAATGTGAAACACTGTGATGCACTTCTTGAAAAAAACAATAAAATCTTCATATTGGTTGTGCACAACATTGGATAATTATTTGCCTCTTTTTCAAATATGAGTAAAAGCACAAATGTGATCTGTACAACATTATATTTTCAGTTTAATAAATAAACATAAACATGGCAGCTGCTCTCTGCTGCACACCAAGGCAGCTGGAGAGTTAATGCACAGAGGGAAAGGAATTGTTGGACAAATGCCTGCTCAGGAACCAGCAGGGCCCTCACCTGGATTAATGATTGATCCCTGGGACTGCGGGATGTCGCACACCTCATAAATTTTAATGGGGTTCATGGGCACCTCCTTGGTGCCATCGTACATCAAATTGAATTCCCGGCTTTTGTTAAGTGCACATCGGAGCTGGGCTTTCCACTTTGCAGGGTCTGGCTCATCCACTCCTTCCTGGTACTTCCCTGTTTCCACGGCCCATGCCTGGGGACAAAGTACACAGAGCTCAGTCCAGCCCTCTGCACAGAGCAGCTTTTATCAAGCTTCCACACAAATTCACTGCAAAATCCTTCTCCTGCAGAAGTCTTAACCAGAGCTCTTCTGTTCAGCAAAACAGAAATTCCCTCTTTAGTAGCTTTTGCCATTAAAAGAAGGGGGAGGAAAAAAAAACCCACCAAAAAAAAAAAGGTGGAAATCCAAATTTCAAAAAATCATAAGCAACTCTGAACATGCAAAGCACAAACTGTAGAGGATCATGCCCAGAGTTTTTCTAGGTCTCTCAGGTTCAATAGCAGAAGTCATTTGGAGCTATACCCTGTGCAGGAGGAATGGACTTGTTAAAATGAAGTGAAAGGGAAGCCACAGACATCCAGTGGCTCCCTCACCTCAAAAATCAGACTATCAGCCCAAGATCCCTCCGAGACAGAGGCCAGAAATTCCTCAAAGGAGTGCAGGGAGTTATAATGAATCCCCTGGGATAAGAATATTAGGGGCAGCAGCGATGAGTGCTTGTGATGAGCTTGTGGTGGGACCTCTTCAGATTCACGTAACAGCACTTAATGGTTTGGTGCCGAGAGCAAGGCAGCTCCCACAGCCCAAAGCGAGCAGATGATTCAAGGAGCAGCAATCTTCCAGAGCCCACGGCTCAGACACCACCTGGCCTTTGGTGGTTGGAAAGGGTTAAAGAACTCAACACCGACTCAGGCAGTGCCAAGCCTGGCATCCAGGTGCACAAAGTGGCTTTTCTGAGGTCAGATAAATAGGGCAAAATGTGCCTGGGAGCAGCTCCCGGGCCAACAATCCGCCCCTCTGTCCCTGTTTCAGAGCTGTGGTGCCCCCTACCACCCTGAGCTCTGCCCTGCCTCACCTTGAAGATGGTGTTCTCCTCCTCGTGCTGGGGGCTGTGCCGGGTCGCGTGTTTCCAGGGGATCTGGAACCGCTTCGCTTCCCGGTTGAGCCAGATGAGGCCGGGGTACATCCCGCTGTCCACCTGGGCCACCAGCCACGGCTTCAGGCGCACCCTGCGCGGGTGCAGCGCCATGGTCTGCAAGAGACAGGGAGCAATAAAACCACACGCCCACTGCTGCAGGTCAGTCAGGACCCAAACGCTTTAAAACGACCTGAACTCGTTTAAGGAGAAAAACGCTGCACTGCCGCTGTTGTTTTTCGTGTTGCTGCACACTGAAACCACCCATTCAGACTCAGCTGGGCGACTCCTCTGCCAGCAGGAGTTACACACACATCACCGAGCGGGGAGCAGGACTGTTACAAGGACAACAATTCGCTATTAAATCTCCCAGAGCGCGTTATTCGCGTCCGCTGAGCGCGCGGAGGGCGAGCCCCGAGCGAACCTGAGCCGGAGATAAAGCCACGAACAAGCCACAGCAAGAACAGGCAGCAGAGTTTCCAAAGCCTCAGCAAAGGGGCCGGATCTGATCTCGTGCTCCTTCAGACCTGCCATCGAGGAGGAGAAAAACTCACACTGTGCTGTGCTGAACGAGAGGCTTTAGCCCAGCTGGGCTGGAGGGGGCTGTTTTATCCCAGAGACAGAAGTTCCTCTCAGAGTCACTTTATGGCTTTTTCACGAATGCCCTGAACGCAGCATAATCATTGGCAAACACCACTGACCTGTAATAACCAGGATGTTTATCCAGAAGGACATGAACTGCAGGTCTGCCCTGCACTCCTGCTAAAAATCGAGTGCTGTTTACTTAATGTTTTCGTTTAAGTAGCCCCGTGTTGCCGATACAGTTGCAGCCAACCAACAATATTTTCCTTGTGTAGAACAAAGCCAAACAAACAAAATTAACGCCTGTCCCTCTGCAAGGCCAGGAAACATTCAATCTTTAAATTTTGGAAGGGAACTTCTACGTGTGTTTAGAAGCTGCATCGCCCATATTCATTAGTAAATCTTGAAACAGAGGTGAGAAGTTACAAATATTCCCATTAATAAAAGCAGTTACAGGTTAAGTAAAACCTTTGCCATAAGCCCTGAACACTGCTGCAGGAGTTGCAAAATAGGTCTAATAGCAGAGATGGAGAAGATTAAAAAAAATCCTATCCAAGAACTAGTCTAGGAACAGGTTTTATTTGTTCAAATACCTGTAGATCCTATTCAGATGCAAGCACTCACACAAAATTAATCCAAACACAATTTAGTCTATCTGTTAAACAAAGAAAATATTCAGCTTCAACTGCAAATCATCTTTGAATAATAGTCTGAAAATGTGTGGGCACATTAGCGGAGTGTTTCCCAGGAGCTGCAAAGGATCAGGAAGCAATCACCAAAATTATTCCATGCTCCTGAAACTCTGCTGTGTTAGTTCTCCGTGTCAGAAGTGCCCTGAGAATTAAACTTGCAGCAGCGTGTTTGCAAAGACACAAAGTCCAGGTTAATCCTGGACTTGGAATTGAGAGCAAAACCAAGTATGGATTTCTCTTGGGAGAAAAAAAAGTGACATTTTAACAAAAAATCCTTCCTAAGGCTCATTTCCACCACCCCTTTCACACTGCACTTTACAAGCAGTCCCTTCTAACAACAAACACCGCATACACACACATTTGCAAGGTCAGCAGTAAATTCAAACCCACAGAACAGGGAGAGAAATTAGTGCCCACCTCACACCAGATGAGTCGGGTCCCGTGGGCTGGGCTCGGATTGTCAGACAGCGTCTGTCAATACCCGGCTTGACAATGCTTTATGACCTTTTATCACCAATGACTTGTTGACACAATAACCGAGAGCAAATCAACTTGAATCCCATTGCTGGGCCCAGACGGTGAGTCAGCCCCTTACAACCTTCAACTTCGATCTGAGGGGGTTCCTGTAATTCCAGAGACTCCGGGAATGTCTTCTCACTATTCCTGGGATTTGCCAAGGGAGGTTTGGCCCTCACTCCAGACCCTCCAGTTCGCTTCATTCCCACTCAATCTGGGTGGTGTGTGGGGATAATTAGCACATCCCTGCGCTGCTAATGCACGGTCAGCAATGTAATTATTCCCTCTACCCTAACTATTATTTAATAAGTCTGACACTCCTTGGAGAGGAGACAGTCACCCCGACAAGAGCAACTCGAGCAAACATCCTGCAGCCACTTTCCCGGAGCTGCAGAGGAGTGACCAAGGTCAGGGACAGCCCTGGTCAGCTGTGGTGACTCTCAGGGCCCTGGAGTGGGGCCAGAGAGCCCAAAAACACACGGTGCACCAGGAAAACGTGGCCTGAAGCCTGGCTCAGCTGTGCTGCACAGATGCTTTCACTCTCTGCCTGCCCTTCCAAATATATTCAGTGTTCCTGCTCCACCTCGTCCATTAAGTCCCTGAAGGAGGAAAGGTCTTCTCTGGGTTCGACACCTCAGATCCCGTTCCTTGCTTGCTGCCTTTGATTACATCACCCTGTATTTCATGGCTCTGTATCCATCTTTACAAAGGCAAACGTTCCCACAGAGAAACTGAATTTCCATCTGACACTTAATCACCTCCCTGCACCGGAACCCCGAGCTCCCACATTTGCAGAGATTTCATTTTCTCCCATCCACAACGCTCTCCCCACCCGAACACGGTGAACTCTCACAACTCCCAGTCACGATTAACTCTCACAATTCCCCCTCATGACGAATTCTCACAATTCCCAACCTGGAAACCTCAGCCCCTTGCCACGGCCCGGCAGCCCAAAAAGTTGGAAGGGCCACGAGTTGTGAACAGCGTTGGTTCCTGGGGTGATAACAGCGGTGGCTAAAGCGGGTGGGGGGCAAACACCACCCCTGCCCTAACTTTAGGCCTCGCTCTGCCCCGACTTGAAAGGCGTAGCCCGGGGCTAGCACAGCCCAACCCGCGGCGCAGATGGGGAAGGGAGCCATAAATTGCCATTTTCAGGGGGCTCTGCCCTCCCGGCTGCCCAGGGAGCCGCACAACCCCTCCCCTGGCACCACCACCGCCCATCCCGCCGGGACCGGGGCGCTCCCGCCGAGCTTTCATCCCACGGAGCCCCTTCGCGTCCTGTTGGCTTTTTTTCCCCCAACCCAAACCCTTCATCCCCGGTCCCCGCTCCGCCCGGGAGCTGCGCGAAGGGCGGATCCCGCGGCCGCTCCCGTCCCGCCGCATCCCCTCCCGGCGCGACCCACCCGCTCCGTCCGTCCGTCCGTCCGTCCAGTCCGTCCGTCCGTCCGTCTGTCTGTCCGTCGGCGGGTCGGGGAGCGGCTCCGCGCCCGCGGGAGCTCTGGGGCCGCCCCGCGGGGCCCGCGCGTGGGCTCGGGGAGCGCGGCGGCCGCGCACACTCCGCGCCCGCCCCGCCCCGCCCTCACCTGCCCAGGTGCGCCCGGCGCAGCCGCGACACCCGCCCCGCCCACGGGCACGCAGGGGTGGGGAGGGGATGGGAGGTGGGTAAGCAAGGACCCCCAAAAAAAAAAAAAACCACGACTTTTTACAGAGACCTTTTTTGCTTCAAAATGGGATGTTTAGGGGAAAAAAGTTTCATTTTATACCGGATTTCCCCCCCCCTTTAAAATGGAATATTTAGGGAAATAAGTTTCCTCTTAAATGGAATTTGTAGGAAGCAAAATTTCCTTTTAAAACTTTTTTTTTTTTTTTAATGGATATCTAGGAAGGAAAATTTTCTTTTAAAAGTCCCCTCACTTTTTAAATGGAATATGTAGGAATTAAAATTTCCTTTTAAAACTTTCCCCCCCCTCTTTTAAATGGAATATTTAGGAAGTAAAATTTCCTTTTAAATGGGATATACATATATATTTTTTTCCCTTTTAAACTGAATATTTAGTAAATAAAACTTCTTTTTAGATGGGAAATACTTCTTTCTTTTAGAATGGAATATTTAGGAACTAAAATTTCCTTTTAAATGGGATATAGATGTCTTTTTTTTTTTCTTTTACATTGAATATCTAGGAAAGAAAATTTCTTTTAAAATGGGATAATTTTTTTTTCTTTTCAAATTGAACATTTAGGAAAGCAAATTTCCTTCTAAAGGGAATATATTTTTTCATTTCAAATTAAATATTTAGGATATAAAATTTCCTATCAAATGAGGTATATTTTCCCCTTGTAAATTGCATATTTAGGAATGAAAATTATCTTTTAAATGAGATATTTTTTCCTTTTAAATGGAATATTTGGGAAAGAAAATTTCCTTTTAAATTTGACTTTTTTTTTCTTGTTTAAATGGAATATCTTGGAAAGGAAACAAAACACTTCTGTTAGGGTTTTTTGGGAGGGTTTTTTTTTTTTTTTTGCCAGTTGAAGCATATTCTGCCAAGTTACAGAATAACAGAATCATTGAAGTTGGAAAAGCCCTCTAAGATCATCCAGTCCAACCATTAACCCAGCACTGCTGCCCCACCACTAAACCACGTCCCTCAGCACCACATCCACGTGTTTCTTGAACTCTTCCAGGGCCTGTGACTCCACCACTCCTCTGGCTCTTCCATTCCAGTGCTTGACCATCCTTTCAGTGAAGGAATTTTTCCCTGTTATCCAACCTAAACCCCTCTTGTCCTAAATGGATCCACAGAGACCCATGAATTTAAAAACTAAAGTCATCTCTGATGAACACAAAGCCACAGAATGCAGGTGTTTTTTTTTTTCTGGAAAGCATAAAAACATCCCTCTTTCCCACCTCCATCCCCACTCTGGGATCACACCTACCCCTGGGAAGGGGCTCAGCAGCATCTCCCCTGGTCCCTCCGAAGTCTCCCACCCTGCAGCCTCACATCTGATTTATTTTCCTCGTAGGTGGAGGGCTGTGACTCAGTGGTGAATCTTAGTTTCAAGGATCACACAAGGCTTTATAATTTGGTTTCAATGAACCAGAAAAAAAAAGTAAAAAAAAAAAAAAAATTGGGAATTTCCCTTCTCCTTCCCATTGTGATCACTACAGAGAGTCCTGCCTTTGGAAAGGCTGACTTACCTCCACAGCTCAATCCTGAGCCAAGGAACTCTGTGAGATTTTGGAAATCTTCACACCTAGAGAAAGCAATTCAACGTTTTTCTTGGAAAGTTTGCCTTGTGAGATGCCAAGTGCAAGTTAAATATCTCAGGCTTCATTCACTGGGCACGGAGTGCCACTCAGGGGCAAGGTTAGCAGGAGTCTGTCAGCACATAATCCAACCCTTCTGCCAATAAACAGGAGACAAAAGGTGACACTGAAAATGGGGGGTGAGATGGTTGGTTGTACTTCACTTTAATATGCAAACCAAGGGACACTGCATTACACCTCTAATGCAATAATACATATATTACATCCACCCTGGTGTTGTTCCTGCTATATAAAACCATGCAAGGGGACAGACAATCTTGGGAGCAACTGGGAAGAGACGCAGGGAGGTGTTGGGCTGAACTCCCAGCCAAACTAGGAAGGATCTTTTGATCTCTCCTCAGATGGCTCAGCACAAAAGCTGCTGTTCATCCTCCCCGCATTCCTGCTGTCCACGCCTCCCTCCTGCCTGGAGACAACGGGCACATCTAAGGATGCTTCAGGTTTGCTTTGTTTGTGGTTGGATGCTCGGGGAGCTTTGGGAATGACACCAGCAGTGATGCTGCTCCCTGTCCTGCACTCCCTGGCTGGCTGTGAGGAGTGGTGGGAGCTGCCCTGGGCACAGTTTTGCTCTTTCTGGGCCCACCAGAAGGGCAGTTGAGATGCTCAACCTACAGGAGGGGTCTTGGGACACGTCAGGGCTGGGGGATTTAAAATAATGGAGCAACGTGGCAAAACAACCAGGGGAGGACTCCTCCAGCTTGGGAAGAAGGTGTCATTTTGCCTCCAGTTTGCCTGAAGTTGGTCCCCTCATTCCTGCCAGCACTCTGCTGCCTCTGTTCCAGCCTCCCAAGCAGCAGCAGATGCCAAACAAATGAGTCTTCCCAGCCCTCTGCAGGGCTTGGTGGTTTTTTTTTTTCCCCTCTTGAGTTTCTCCCAGCCTCTGCTGAAGCGTGTGGCAGCATGTTTGCTACTGAGCTGACGGGAAATAAGCTGCCTTTTTTCCATGCTCTTGGCTGGGAAACTCCACAGCTTTGGAGCTGTATAGGTAATAATCTTGGGATAACTCATTAGGCAGGCCACGTAATCAGATGTTACCTGTTTGTAAGTAATCATCCAAAGTGTTGATTCTGACACAGCACACAGAGCATTGATCCTATTCCTTCAGGCAGCCAAAAAGCACCAAACTCTTCATTGTAGCATTTTCTGGCTGAGAGACCCTTCCAGTGCAGTCTGCAGAGCACACACCACGAGAGGACGTGCAGAGGAATTCCCATACCAGCAGCTATAGGATTTGCTTTATTTCAGTGCCAAATCAGCATCACTGCTTTTATCAGCACGACTGTATGTCGTGGTACCTGCAGGAGCAGCAGTCAGGCTTTGCAAGCCATGCCTCCTGCAGCCCCTCTTGTTCCTCGCCCGGAGAAGGCTGCAGTCATCAAAACAAAAGAGGAGCCATTTTCTCTCCTGGGAACAGATCACCGAGTTCCCACGAGGCAAAACAAAATTATGCAACGAGAGAGAGAGAGAGAGAGAGAGCCGAGGCAAAACCGTCCTGGGCATGTGGAGTCTTGTCGTGTGCTCTGAGCACTCGCATTCCAGCAGGCAGGAGGGCAGCACGAAATGGTGGGAGGCTCCACACAGGAGCATCCAAAACTCCCCCAGGTGTGCAGGAGAAGAGATGAGTCCTCCCCAGCCCTGTCCTGGCAGCACCTCTGTGGCCTGGGAGCTGTTTGTGACCCTGGGAGAACCCATGTCCTCACCAGGTGCTACCCGTGAGATGACTCAAAAAATTACATAAAATAATTTATAAACACCACCATGCCTGCCACAGGCTTGTTTCCAGTGGGTCTAGTTAAGAGGAAAACACTGGGGGATGGATTTACTATTATTTTTCCTGATTTTTCCTCAAGCTGCTCTGCTGTGGAAAAGAAATCTCAGAGTCAGGGCCTGAAGTTTGGCTGAAGCATTTACAAAAGGAAGGACTGAGTTCATTAAATGTGTTGAATTCTTCTAGGTGTGAGGGTAGAAACACAGGATTCCTCCAAATTATTAATAAAAGTATTTTAGTTCAAATAGGATAGTCTTTCTGGCAACTTCTCTGGCCCTTCCCATGCATGGGATGCTTCTGCTCAACTGTCTTATATCCTCTTCTTGCTTTTCTCTTCACTGAAACCATGCAAGGCCTGGGTTCACTTAAATGTAAAAATGTAAAAGTGTGAAGTTGTGCTCTACATGTAAAAGAGTAAAGTTATACTACACTCTGGATTTGCAGGCATATCCCTGATGGAATACAGATGGAATATCACTGATGGGTTACTCAGAGATGTGAGTGGACTCAGAGCAAACCCTGTTCCTACAGTGCAGCATGAATGGCTCTGCTGTTCTGCAATATCAAATTTTAGCCTGGTTCTTAGCCAGTATTCTTCCTTGTGAGAGACAAAGCCAAGCAAAAAAAACCAAAAAAACAAAGATCCAAAAAAGAAGTGAGCAGCTTAAATCCTTCAGGGCCTCAGCATTAGAATAAGAGAGTCCATTGTTTCCTATTAATGCTGCTCCAATCCTCTTAATAAAGATAACAGGCTGGCTCGGACACATTTATAGCTACAGGTCATTCTTTCCAGCTGACACAGATAATGGTTGGACTCAGAACCATCTGATGGGGGTAAAAGCTGATGGCTCCTGTAAGAAAAGGAATGAGGAGTGGGTTGTGTGAAGAGAGAGGAGGGTTTGAGCTGTGGCTGTTGCTGAGCAGGCAGAGGTCAGGGTGTATCTGTAATAAAAGCAATAAGCAAAGTTCAGTGGGAAGGGGGAACTGGAGTGTTTCCATGGATAAAGGCACTGAGGAGGGAAAGGGGATAAGGGAGAACTCTTTTATAAAACAGGGAAATAAACTGTTCCTGCTATTTTTAACTTCAAGTTCTAAGACTGAATTGTGAAAATAAGAGGAAAATGTGTGTTTCTCTCAACTGTTTTGTATAGAGCACAGCCTATAGTAGGCATTCAAATAACTTCATGCCTTAGCAGGTTTTTTTCCTGGAAGTGTTAGTCTTTTTCAGGATTTCCTCTCTCTAATTGTTGTTTGTTCTTATGCCCCTTCTCACTAAAGCAGTTGAGCCACACCCCCTCAAGCCAGCATTGAAAAAACTAATGCTACTTCCCTTAAAATCCTCTTTTTTTCCCCCTTGAAAATCTCCAGCACAGCAAGTGGGGCTGTGCATTGTGTGTAAAGGGACCCTCAGCTCTCCAATTCTGTGGCATGAAGGCATTAATGCATGGAAAGACTCTGACCCTCTGGAGTTTGTTTCTAAATAGGGCACAGCTCAGAACATCTGAAGGTCTCTGGGGCTCATAGGAGGGAATCTCCTAATGATCTTAGTTACTTTTATACCTGCCTGAGACCAGAGTGCTCTAGTGCAGAGCAGCAACTCTGAGATCACCCAGTGAGCACAAGGAACTGGGGCAGAGAAGAAGGTGAAGTAACCACAGTATTAACATCAAATAAAGGCACAAGACAGCCAGAAGAAAAAGAGCAAGGAAACAGCAACTAAAGGATATTAAAAGCAAAAGGAATTTGAGAAGGTTTTCCCTCTTTACCTTCTGGGGTGGGTTTTTTTTTTTTTAACCTGCAAAAATGGGACAGCAGTTTGCCAATGCTGAAGGAGGGGAGCAAGGAGAGATCGACGTGGCGGAATTGCAGGAGTGGTACAAGAAGTTTGTGGTTGAGTGCCCCAGTGGGACCCTCTTCATGCACGAGTTCAAGAGGTTCTTCGGGGTCCAGAATAACCAGGAGGCAGCAGAGTACGTTGAAAACATGTTCAGAGCTTTTGACAAGAACGGGGTAAGTGGTGAGGTGTTTTTGCAGTTATTTTGTGTCACGGTTCTCGTGTCCTCTCCTGGGATTTGGGGGTGTTTCAGTGCACTGCTCACCCTTCTGTGACACCAAGGCTTGAGGAGGAGCACAGGCTGCACAGGGCTGGGGTGGGCTTATCCTCTCCTAAATCTCTGCCCAAATTAAGATCAGAATGTCCCCTTAAGGGACTGAGGCTGGATTAAAAGGTTGAATTTTAGGCAGTCACACTTTGAGACAGTGTTGTTGAAAGATCCTCAAATAGCCAAGGTTGCTACGTGGAAAAATTATGTCTGTGTTGTGATAAAAGGGGAATTACAGTGGAGGAAAGTCCTGCTCAAGTTTGCTATATATTGGAGTAACTGTATGTATATATCTAGTATGAACAGGTGGTATATAACAAAATATTGATTTTAGCTTTGCTTTCCAAAAGCAAAGGAATGCTGAACAATTCTGACATTCTGGTTTTGATTCCCTTTGCTGTATTTGTCATCAGGCACCTGGAAAAAGTGGGCTTTCTGGTTTAGTCACAGTTCATACATACCCAGCCTCTGCTGCCAAAGGCACCCTAATGCTGGCCTGGGATATTTGAAGTACTTAAAATAATGTAACAGAGTTGCTTTTCTCATCTAGACATGGGTAAGCAATGCTTGCCAAGTGGTGCAGTTCTTTTTTCCCGGATCTTTTGATCCTATTCCAGGTGTAGGGGGTTGTTTGTTGCCACCTATCAATACAGGAGAAGGGGAGACAAGCCAGTCATCTCTGATAAACTGATTTCCCTTAAGCTCCCTTTGAAACAAGTGGGAAAATCACAGTGAGGTGGCCACAAAAGTCAGTTTGTGAGAAAGGATGAAAAAACTCCCTATGGAATATGTGGGCAGGTCAGACTTGTCTCAGAATCTGAAGCTGGAAAAACCCACATTCCTGAAAAAAAAAAAGAAAATGAAAGTTTCATGTCCCAAATTTAGTTATGAAAGTTGTGCAGAGCATTCCTAGTTTTTAGGAGCTTTCCTAACAAGACAAAAAGCCTATCTTTAGGGGATGCTGATAGATAAGGAACACTAAATTTAGGCAGGGAGTTTGCTGGAATCTAATCAATTGAGCAGGCCCTAACAACCTAAAGGATTATTGGTAATACAATAAGAAGATGGGAACAAATTCTCAATTGTCTTTTCATGCTCTCTGGGCAGCACAAGCAGTTGTTGCTCCCAGGGGCTGTGGAGCACTTTGGTGCCCGTGGGCAGAGGGGGTCACACAGCCCAAAATCTCCCAGGGGTTTGCTGAGGATGGGGAGGGCTGTGAGGTGCCAAAGGGCCCTGGCTGAGCCCTGGGAAGGATGTTGATCTTTATGAGGACCATGTTCTAGAGTGCCCTGAATCCCTTCAGGGTGAAGTTTTTAGGAGGATGAACATCCTGGTGTGAATCCTTTGTTGGGGTTGTTTCTTGCTGCCTTCTTCAGACTGGTGACATTTCCATTGTCAGATTCTTCCTCAGCTCAATCCAGAGAAAACCAGACAGAAGGATGGGGGACAGGGGTAATGGTTGGGTGTTGGAGCAACCTGGACTAGTGGAAGGTGTCCCTACCCATGGCAGGGGGTGGAATGAGATGAATTTTAAGGTCCCTTCCAACCCAGTTGCTGCTTTTCTGTTTCTACAGGATAACACCATTGATTTCCTGGAATATGTAGCTGCCTTGAATCTTGTTTTACGAGGAAAACTGGAACACAAGCTGAGGTGGACATTCAAAGTGTATGACAAGGATGGGAATGGCTGCATAGATAAACCTGAGCTGCTGGAAATCGTTGAGGTAAGTAGGCATTGCTTCATCACTTATTTAAGCAATCCCTGTTCTTTGGCAATGTAATGATGTGTATGGGGCTTGTGATAACCAGGTTTCAAGGATGGTGATGAAGTGAAAATGCCTGACCTTTGGTGAAGGGGTTCTGTGCTCAGTGGAGCCTGGTGGGGGTGTCTGAGGGGTCTGTTCTACCCACTGTGGGCAGCCTGGCCCTTGCTGCTCTGTCCAGAGATCCTGGATCCCTGCTCTGCCTTTCCTTTCAACCCCTTTACACCAAGATTCATTGCACTGGTCAGCTGGAAGAGGGTTTCATCCCATGCCCTTTATAGGAGCTGTTTCCTGCCCTGAGTAGCTGGTGAGAACACAATGAGAAGCACAGCTTAGCACAGAAATCCATTTTTAATAATTCCTTTCTAGGTTTCTGCAGTTCTGCACTTAGATTTGATTGGTGACTGTGTGAAGGTGTGAGAAGAGGCACCTTCTCTTCTCCCAAGCAACAAATGATAGAACAGGAGGAACTCACCCCAAGCTGCATCAGGGGAGGTTTAGATTTGGTTATTAGAGAAAATTCATTCACTGAAAGGGTTCTCCAGTGGTGGGGTCACCACCCCTGGAAGGATTTAAAAGCCATGTAGATGTGGCACTTGGGGACATGGTTTAGTGGTGAAGTGCTGGGTTAACAGTTGGACTGGGTGGTCTTTTCCAAGCTGAACCATCCTCTGGGGCTCAGCAGACAGTCAGACACAGGGGACCTGTGCCCTTACTTGATGTGAATACCCTGGTGCTTGTGCTAGAGCACCTCAGGTTCTGCTCCCCTTGCACAGCAGGACCTGGGAGGCTCAGCCAGTGGTTACCCCACATTCTAAGATCTCAGGGGAAATGCAGTATCAGGAACTGAACGTGTGGAAAGCAGATTTTGCCTGGGAAGTGTGAGCAGGTTGTCACCTGCAGCCCCAGGTGTGGGGGAAGGGGGTCAGCCTGTCTGGGACACATCCCATTTTAGTTTTGAGGTCAGCTAAGAACTGCCCAGAACTGTGTTAGGCCACTGCTAATCTCCTCTCTGGGGTGACTTGAGACAAAACCCTTCAGCCTAAGGAGTAAAGGTAACAGTGAACAGGTGGCTGTCAAGGGAGGAGTAGATAAAACCTGATCCCTTCCCGTGGCAGAGTGGAACAGAAGCTGTGGGTCAAACTCTGTGCTAATACAGGCTTGATCTTGCAGCTTGGGCACAAGTTCCTGGGGAGAGAGGGCTGGGCAAGTCCAGCTGTGCCTGGCTTTGGATGTGAGCAAAAAAATCCCAGTCAGGTCAGATGACTTTCCCATCTGTGAAACTCTCACTCTGCTCTTTGCAAAGGAGCCCTGAGGCCTGACCAATATGTGTGAGGAAAAGAGGAGGGCAGCAGTTTCAAAGAGCAGATGAGGTAAATCTGCAGTCTGTGCAGGCAGAAGGTCAGAGGTTTCGTTCCAGATCTGAGGGTGCTGAGTGGCAGATCCTTCCAGAAAGGCTAAACCCACAGCCTTTGAAAAAGACCTTTACAGTGTTGGGATGATAATGGAGCTCACTGCTTTTCGACTTTCCAGTTCTTTTCTTAATTTGTGACCGTCTTTTCAGTCCATCTACAAGCTGAAGAGGGCGTGTTGGTCGAACATTGAGGACAGGACCCCATTGCTCACCCCAGAGGAGGTTGTGGACAGGATATTTGAGTTAGTGGATGAGAATGGGGATGGTAAGTGATCAGTGGCACAGATTGCATTCATGTCTAATGAGAATTGCCTGTGCTGGGCAGGCTGGCTTTGATTGTGGCTCTCCAGAAACCTCCTGGCACTATTGTGTTACTCATAATAGACACACTGGGTTTGGTTCTGGTCTGTTTGATAGAATCAAAAGTAACTTGGTGGAGGAGGGTGAAATAATTGTCATTGTTATTTTAACACAAAATACAGAGGAATCACTGTTCTGTCTGGAGTGTGATGCCACACAGACCTCATCCTCTGAAAGCCCCCAGGAGCCAGAGGGCAGGTCCCAGTCCCAGCACAAACAGCCTGAATAAAGACAGTGGTTCCAAAGTGGGGCTTGCAGGATCAGACTTGCAGTCCTGGAGGAGCCTGGGGGAGCTGCTGAGACATTTCCTGTCTCTTGTTCTGATGGGCAGGTGAATGCACTGGCCACAGCCTGTGGTTGGTCTTTCAGAGCCCTGGCCTGAACTAAGTGGGGGAATGAAGCAAACTCTTGTCTGATTAGCATATTATCTGAAACACAGATGGTATTTGCTTCCTGCCTTCTCTTATCTCTCCCCTTTTGACTCTGCAATCTTGTGTCCTCCTCATCTCATCCACAGGGCAGTTGTCTCTTGAGGAGTTCATCGATGGAGCCAGGAAAGACAAGTGGGTGATGAAGATGTTGCAAATGGATGTGAACCCCGGGGGATGGATCAGTGAGCAGAGGAGGAAGAGTGCTTCCCTCTGAGAAAATTCAGCCTTGATTCAGCTGAAAGAGTGATGCTGACTCCAAGTGTGACTCCTCCTCTAGGGTGGTAGGGACTTTCCCTTGTAATCCAATCTCAGCATCCAAGATGAAAACTTGGGATGGTTTAAGAAGCCATATCTCCACCTAAAACCCACGTGCTGCTGGTACCCAGAGAACTATTTTTGGCCCATGAATAAGTCTTCCTGTGTACACAGTACTGTGTTTGCCAGCTCTGGTTTTTGGTTACACCCCAAGGAACAAACTTTTTTTCGTGGCTTCCTGCAGCAGATCCTGAGCAGGGTTTTTCAGTCTGGTGACAGACAGGATCGGGAGGTAAGAAATCCAGGCAGTGGTCCTGGTGTTTGCATCACTCAGAGATACAGCACATCAAACCACCTGTGGCACCAGCAGAGGGGCTCTGGCAGGTGTGAGACGGTCCAGGATGTCTGGGTGTGTATTTTGTAGCCTATAATGTCAAATTACTGAAGACCAACAGATTGCTGTCAAAAATGGGAGTTGGGCTAGAGCAGTAGCCAAGACAACACACAGAGCTGAGGAAAACAGAGAGGGGGAGCAGTAACTCCTTCCCCTCCCTCCTGTCTGCTCCTTCTGCCTGCTCAGAGGGTCTCTGAGGGGCTGGATAAATGCTGTTCCAAACACTGAGCAGCACAGGAGTTGTTCTTCTTCAGGGCCCCATTTAGAGGACAGAAGGGCACAGATGTGCCTGGGCTCCTTTTGAGCCCTTGGTTCTTAGGGAATCATCACTCTGGACCAGCTCCTGCTCTGTGGAGGGGAGGGTGAGTTCCAGGGCTTTCACTGCACTGGGGAAAGCTTTGTGTGGGAGCAGAGATAAAGAAGGAGCAGAGTTTTGCTTGGCAGCGTCTCTGCAATGAGAGGATTTGTGCTGCTTTATTGGCAGGACCACCTAATCACGAATCACAGGATGGTTTGGGTTGGAAGGGACCTTAAAACTCATCCAGTTCCTACCCCCTGCCCTGGGCAGGGATGCCACTCACTAGATCAGGTTTCTCCAAGCCTTGTCCAGCCTGGCCTTGAAAAGAAGAGAAGAAGTGACAAAAATCTGAGTTATGAAGCAGTACAGTGGTTTTACACTGGACTTAATTTAGCCACAGTTACAAAACTTGCACACGTTGCAGGCTGAGCTCTGCTGTTCTAACCCACCTTTCCACACATATGTATGTGGAAAAAGAATTTGGGTTGAATCAATATTTTAGGTCATCTTGATTGGATTTACAGGCTCATTTACAAGAAAAATTTAACCAGGAAAAATAACAGGAGTTTGCCTGTTTTATTTTAGTTTTCCCCTGAGGTCAGTGGACCAGGTCATACCAATGAAACTATTTACAATCCCTTTTTCGTGGCCTTTAATTAGGAGTGTACTCTCTGTCATTAGTTGATTAGCTTGCTGGTTTGTGGCCATGTCAGTTTAGCCAGTGTTTAAATTCAGGAACATGAGGAAGTGTTCAGGATAAGACATAATCAGTGCTAGAGTTCAAATCATATAGATTTCCACTTCAAAATAGCCTTTCTAAGAGTTCTCTGTAAATACACACTAGTCTGTGCTGTGCTTACTTATCAGAGCTGATTAGACTCCTGGTTTATGCTGCTCTTTCAGGCCCTTTCAAGTCAATAGTTTATCAGCCAAAGATCTGACAGAAAAAAATCTTACTTCTGACTTGAAAGCCCCCGTTAAAAAATTCACTTTTGTGAAACATTGACATGAAAACATTCAACTTGCGGAGAAATGTTTTCATTAGAGGGTACAAATCTCAAATTCCTCGAATTTCAGCATCTCAACCAACGTAACAAACTCTGCTTCTTGCACAGTTGTGAAGTGGCTTAGTTTAGTTACTGTAGTTGCATGTTGCTGGTTTATTTAAATGCTTTGAGTTCCCTAATTCTGCTCAGCCCAGGCACTGCAGGGGCTGTTGGGTGGTCTCATGCCAGCACCCCTCTCCTGGGGATGCAGAGGGGAATCCAGCACTGAGCACTTGTACAGTTGTTGGTAGAAATTTTGTAAACACACGACTTGAATAAAGAAATATTTATTAAAACCCTTTGGTTTGCAGTATTTCTTTTTTTTTTTTTTTTTGGCTAAGCATAAAAGTGAAGACCTGTGTAAGCACCTGAGCATCTGAGTGAAACTGTAGCCTGTGAGACTGATATATTGAATTTAGGGGAGGTGTTGGTGTAAGAGCTGGGTAAGACAGAGATAAGGCAGAGTAGGGAATGAGTCTCTTCTGTTTAACTTTCATGTGATGACAGCAAAAAGCATAACAGTATGAGTAAAAAAAAAAAATCACATTTCTCAATGGAATTTGAAATGGGTGCTTAAAATAAAGTGAGCTGACAGTGCTGCAGATGCCCCTACTTTGATCCTGCCAGGGCTGAAGCAGGAACCCCGAGGAATTTTGGGCTCAGGAACTGGATGTTTCCACCTCCTCTGGCCTGGGCAGATCTGGGATGGAAATGCTGCACACAGTGGATGTAGTTATGTCAGTGCTGGCACAGCCCAGTGGAAAATTGTTCCTCTTACTAATTGTGTAATCTTTTGTCAGGGAATCACAGGCTGCTTTAGCCTTGGTCCTATTTTTAAATCGATAGGTATAAACACTCTGATCTCTTCCCAAACTCAACTCAACTGTTTGCAGCAAGCTGTTGATGTCAGGCATTCTGCATAATCCGTTTTCCAGACTTACAGCCCAGCTAGAATTGGATTTGGCTGATCGGATTTCTTTCTGGGCTAAATTTGGAAATAGGATGGCTTGGAAAAGGCAAATGCCAGGTGATTTTTCTGGGCTACCATCTGCTCCCGTGTTTGATGCCCCTGAAGGGGGGGCAGGATTCAAGGTGGAATAATCAGGTTAGAAAGTTGGAGATGAGGCTGTTGTTGAAGGGAAGAGGGATCAGGGGCTGAGGAAGCATCACATCCTCAAATACTCTGGGAGATGCATTCCTGGAGAAAGCACTGAGCAGAAATAAAAGGCTGAGAGGGGAAAGAGGATCATTACACCCAGCTCTGTGCTTAGGCAGGCTCTGGGTCTGTGAAATGATGTTCAGAGAGGGGAGGTTCATCCCTGGGCAGCTGGGGCTCCGTGGGTGCCCAGAGGGAAGCTTTGTGTCCAGGTCATTCCCAAAGCACTTCTGTGCAGCTCTGCCAGTATGGGAAAATTCCTTAAAATTTTAATTTCTTTCCTTTCTTTCCTTTTTCTTCCCTTTCTTTTCTTTCTTTTCTTTCTTTTCTTTGTTTCTTCTCTTTCTCTCTTTCTCTTTCTTTCCTTCCCTTTCCCTACTATCCTTTCTTCTCCTTTCCTTTCTCTTCTTTCTGTTCTTCCTTTTCTTCAAAGGAAAAAAACCCTCAGACAATTAGAAAGTGTCTCAAACGCATCACCTTTAAATATCCTGTATTTAAGGCTGGTGTTCTGGGATCAGGTGGGTGCTGCAGGAACACGGGATCAGCGGTGTGGAGCGGAAAAAGGAACTTTGGGAATCTGAGAGCGAGTTTTTGTCATTTCTTCGCCGTTTGGGTCTCCTGCCCCACCTCTCGGGGATACACAAGGGGATGTTTCTGCCCTTTGAGCTCATCATCCCCTTTCCCTCTGATTTTGGGGTGGGTCGGGCCCATCCCGGCGGATTCCCGGGATTCCCGATGGAGCCGGCAGGGGGCGCTGCCGGACGCGGGAGAGGGACCTGGGGAGTGTCCAAAGGGCTCCCAAAAAACAGGGACAGGACGGGGGAATGGCTGTGAACTGGCACAGGAGAGACTTAGAGGAGACATTAGGAAGGAATTCTTTATTCTGAGGGTTCACTGGCACAGGTTGTCCAGGGAAGCTGTGGCTGCCCCATCCCTGGAAGTGTCCAAGGCCAGGTTGGACGGGGCTTGGAGCAACCTGGGATAGTGGGAGGTGTCCCCATCCCTGGAGGTGACCAAGGAAGGACTGGACGTGTCACTCGGTGCTCTGGGCTGGGGGACAAGGTGGGATCAGGCACAGGGTGGACTCGGTGATCCCAGAGGTCTTTTCCAACCTTAATGATTCCATTATTCTGTGCCCACCTCATTGCAGGGGAGTTGGACTAGATGACCTTTAAATGTGCCTTCCAACCCGAACTGTTCTCTAATTCCAAAAGCAGAGGCAGAGCTGGGAGCTGGAGTCAGACCTGCAGTGTGGCCCTGCAGCCTCCCAGGCCCATCCCTCCCAAAAAATCCTCCCCCACACTCACCAGGGAGGCTGTGCTGCCTCCCAGCACCAGGGATATCGTCACAAGGGTGAGCAATGTGCCTGTGGCACCTCAACAGCCACCACTATTTGGAAATAAATTAATTATGCATGAGCTGGGGCAGGGAGAGTCACAACATTTAGTTTTTAATTATTTCTTATTTGCTTTCTTAGAGGCTGAAAAAACATCCTTTGGAAGAGAGACAGGGAGGTTTGAAAGGTGTCTTTGGCCTGCTGGCAGTTCTGACACAGCCTTTTCAGAATAACTTTGTCTTATTTATAAATAGACCTTGGGCTTGTCAGATCTGCTTTTTGGGTGCAGAGGAGGGGCTGAAGGAAGCACAGGAGGGACTGGCTCAGGGAGCCCACTCTGAGCTCAGCTCCCTCTTGTGCTGTTGTAAAGCCAAAGTGCTGTAAGTTTGGTGCTGGTCATTTGTGGGGGAGTTAATTTTTGCTGCAAGAAGGAGTGTTACACGTTGAGTAAACAGCTCAGCCCACCTTTAATAAGCAGTTTGCAGCTTCTCTCTCCTGCACTGGTGTGAGTGGACAGGTTGGCCCATCAAAGGGTTCCTTTCCATGGTGTGTTTCTGGGCCTGACAACAACCCCAGAGCCTGAACCTGCTGGTCTGTTTGGGTGGAAAACAGGCCAGGAGGGAGTTGTGGGGCTGCCATGAAGGGAGGAAGACAGGATGTGCCTGGAAATGTGGGTGGGTAAAGCAGAGCTCCCAAAGAAAGAGTTGTAGGACTGCCCAGGGGGTGGGAGTTTTACTAAAGGTTTTACTAAAGGTTTTAGTAAAGGTTTTAGTAAAGGTGAAGCTGCCTGACTTGATGCAGATGAGGTTCAGAAGAGCAGGCAGCACCTATGGGATACAAGAACTTTTCTACACTGATCCTGAAGAAAACAGACCTCTCCCCAGAGCTTGCCCTGTTCTTGTATGAGATCTACTTTAATAAAGTCAAACCAAAGAGTTTTGCACTTGCATGAGCCAGTTAATCTGTCCTGCTGGAAACAGAAGGATTGGTTGATAAAAAGAAGAAGCACAACCTGAAATAATGTTGTAAAACACCTTTATTAGTTCACTACAAGACTGGAAGTACAAAAGCTTCCAGGCAAAACGCTGTCCAGTGAACAAGACAGGAAAAATGGTCCGAAAGTTGCTTACGAATCGCAAACACCCACTGCTAAATAACAGGACTTTCATCTGGGCAAGAAACCCTTCCTGGTGTCCTGCATTGCCTCACCATGCCTGAAACCTGCTCCCATCAGATGAGGAAGCTTCTCCCAAGGAGCAACCAAGGCGCAGCCCCGGCTCGGCGTTGGGGACAGGGGGTGGGTGGGCTGGGGCGAGGCCGCCGCTCCCGCAGCCGCCCTTGTGCGTGTGCGGGGTCCTGGGGGCAGCCCCTGCTCGTGGCACGAGGCTGCCGTGCCCAGGGTGCTCTGAGAAGGGGTTTTTTACTCCATGGGGGACTGTAGTTGATCCCACGTCAGAGAGGATGGTACCCAGACTCGGGTACTCGTGGTGCGGGCGCTGCGGCTCGCCCGTCTCTAGCAGCTCAGCCACCTCTCCAAAATGCACGCAGGCTTTGGAGTTAAGACCACCTCGATGCTCAGGTGTAACTCACAGGGCAGTTTGATTTTGTTGTCCAGGTGGTAAAATATGCAGGAATATTCCTACAGACGTGCAAAGCTTCTCCCTCTCAGGTTACTGCCTTTGCAGTACTTATGTCCGGTTCTACTTATCTGGAAGTACTTAGTACTTCCAGATACTTCAAGGAGAAAAATGCCCTTAAAGTCCAGGTGGTTGTTAAAAAAAGGCACCATTCGATGTTTTTAATGCTTTTAAACAAAGAAAAGCCACTGCATTCACCCCTCCCCTTTTTCTAGCTCGTAAATGTTTTTACCTTACATTATCACTAATCATCGCTAATAATAAATCAAAGAACAGATGACCAGAAATGGTGACTGCTGGCTCTGGAAATATAAATAGGAGGAGAAGGTTTAGTTTTGTTTTTCTAGGACCCCCTCTCACTGGGGCCAAGTGCTGGGCAGCCCTGGGGTTTGTCCCTTGCCAAGGCTGCAGACGCCAGTGTTGGCCACAGCCTAAATTTTGAGGGGCTCTCTGTGTGTTCTCAGGCTTGTGTCACTCCCCTGCCTGAGGAGGTGGCATTGTCCCCCCACTCTGCTCAGCAGCAACATCCAGAGGCCCCTGCAGAGCTCAGGGCCCGTGGCAATCCGGGGTGGGGCGTGTGTTTTCCGTATGTCCACATCCCCTCCTTGCAGCAGCTTTTCCTCTTGCGCCAGGCAGGGCCCCTGGCTCCCCCCAACCATCTGCCAGGGGAGCAGGTCCTGGTCCCTGCACTAACAGGAGAGCCTGGCCACACTGGCACAGGGACAGTCCACCAGCTCCCACAACCACGACACAATTTGAGGTTAATAATGCAAGGGGGGTGAAGTGGAGGCGAAGGGGAGAGCGTTACGGGGCGGCCGCTGCCTCCTCCAGCTCGTGCGGGTTCTTCCCGTCGTTCTGGATGAGCCGGACGATGTGTGTCAGGTCCAGGCTGCGGGTCAGGATGTCCAGCAGCATTTCGTCCTTCTGCACGCCCTCCATGAACTCTTCCAGGGACAGCTCACCTGAGGGAGCACGTTCAGAAAGGGCCTGTTAGATCCTCTCTGACGGTGTCGCATCAGCCCCCCGGGGAGTTGTACAGACTCTGAATTTGGGGTCTTGAATATGTGAGGCGTACACCCTAAACTCCACCACAGACCCCCACCCTGCCAGCAGGACAAGGGGCACTTTGCAGTGTCCCCTTGGGCCAGCTGCAGCCCACAGAGGGGATGGGGAGCTCAACCTTCACAGAGAGCCACCCCCTGCCAGCTCTCCCCATATCCTGGTGTTCTGGGATGGGCAGGACCTGCAATTGCTCTGGCAGCCTGAACTGCAGGTAAGGGGGAAGGTGGGAGCATTGGAATTGCTTAGGGAAGTTCCTCACCATCTCCATTTATATCAATTTTGTCAAACACCATGTCTGTGAACTCCTCGGCCGACATCGTTGTGTTGCAGCGGTTGATGGATCGAATAGCCTGGAGGGAACGAAGGACACAAAGGAATTACTGAGTGCAGGTTGTGTGTCCATCAGCACAAGTGGCCAAGGGACCAGAGAAACCAGACACCATGAGAGGCTGAACTATTTTGCAGGCAGTTAGGTTTCAAAAGCAATAAGTCTTGTCTGAGAAAACCAGAGATTAAAATCACTTCGAAAGGCAGTCAGTGCTTTACAAGATTTTCTGGGCATGCTGGGATAAGCCAGGAGTTGTTCATCTCTGGAAACCCTTAGGTTAGGGTGCTTATCTCAGTCCAAGTTTCAGTGGATGGGATTAAACAACCAGGAGAAGACCAGGGGCTGCTGTGTGTCAGAGTGTGTAGGTGCCATGGGAGGTTGTGAGATATTGGAGACAGGACCACCAGGGAGGACTGACAGAGGACAAGCAGCAGGTTTGGCCAGTGCCTACTAATTTTCCATGGAATTAGCTGGGTTGGAATGTTCCTCTTACAACCTTTCTGTCTACCTGCATGTAATGACCACCTGTGATAGAAATGGAAAAGCTGAGCCCACTCACTTTGATGATGTTCAGCAACTCTCCCCGGTCAATGCACCCGTTCCCATCCACATCATAGAGCTTGAAGTACCAGCGCAGCTTCTGGTCCACCTTCCCTTTCAGGACCAGGCTCAGAGCTGCCACATATTCCATGAAATCTATGTAGCCATCCTGAAAGCAGAAGGTTAGAAGCTGAGATGAGATTAAAAGCAGAGAGTCAGGCAGTCTGTGATTTTCCTGGTCACTTCTGGAGGTCCCTGCTGGAACTGATCCCTGCTGGTGGCCTCCACCTTGAGACAGGAGCTTGGGGAGCACAGCAGAGGGCAGGGGAGTTTGGGTCCCCTGCATGCCCAGTGGTTAAAGCCAAGGTTCCACCTTAATCTGTGCAGAGCCATTACAGAATCAGAGAATCACTGAAGTTAGAAAAGGCCTCCAAGATCATCAGATCCAACCTTGGACTGTTATGTGTCAGGAAGGAATGAACTCAGTGGGTGTTCCTGGCTTGGGGACTGAGGAAGCCTCCAAAGCCTGTGCTCAGGGAATCTCTTTGTGCAAAGCAGTGGTAATTCAGAGGCCAAAGAGGCACAGGCTTATGCAGATGAGTCCTGATGGATCACACAACCTTATCCTGCCTGCACACACCTACAGCTCTTTTCTGCTGCAAGGGGGTCTTGGATGAAAAAATCCCGGAGGGGAACAACATCAGGAGTCACCCCATCATGCTGGTGACATCTGGGCCTAAGTGCTGCTCTGTGCCTGTGCCATTTCTGTATTTGCTTTGCATTTGATCATGTCAAAAGCACAAACACTTTTATCTTTGACTTTCTTCCCAGGTGTTTTTCCACCTCCAGCTCCTGCCTTCAGCTGGACCCACGGAGGGCTCACTCCCAGGGCTATGGCTCACTGCAGAGCTGCTGGCATGAGCTCACAGGCCACCAGCCTGCCTCCAGACACCACTCATGATGCCCACAACTCCTGCAAGGTTGCTGAAATGCTTCATGCCCAGCTCAGAGCGTTTCCGTGGCACTTGGAAGGAAAGTGGCACACGGGACGTGGCACGTACGGCCCTGGCAGCGCTCGAAACTCGAGTGGATGTGGCACCTGGGGATATGGTTTAGTGGTGAACACGGAGGAGCTGGGTTAAGGGTTGGACTTGGTAATCTTAGAGGTCTTTTCCAAGCCTGATGATTCCATGACTCCATACTGCCAACCCCGGACAGTTCATTAGAGCATAAGCCAGGGTTTTGTGAATGAACAAAGCCACCGCTCCCCGGGGCTGGTTCAGGAGGGGATCATCTGCTTTATCCCACTGCTGCAGGAGCCAGATTAGGTATAAATAGCTGCTAAGCCCCATGCCCAGCAGGATTTCCCGTGCATCAATTCCCTTTTCAGGCATGCACTGAAACATGGTGCAGTGATCAAGGTAAAGGCCAAGACACCAGCAAACACCTGAAGGATTTGGGGCCTGATTTGCATTTTTATCAATGGGATTAAGGGCTTTAAAACCTTTGAGTTGCCCTAAAATACATTCCTCATCTCACAGGAGGCGCAATTTCAAATCATTTGCAAGCAAAGGAGGATGTTGTTTTCTCTCAGAGACTCAGCATCCAGCTGCTTTCCTGGCAGCACTCCCAAATATGTGCAGGTGCTCCAGGACTGCCCCATTTCTGGAGGTCCAGCACAGCAACAACCCGAGCAGCAAAGCCTCCCTCCCCACAGGGAACAAAGGAACTCAGCTCCTTATCACAGAGGGCAGAGCACATGGCAAAAAAAAAAATCAATGAAACTAATCCATTTATAATGTAAAGCAATGCAAAACAGACCCGATCTGTTCTGTAAACTGTGGCTCGTGGCTCAGGAACTCGCTATCTCTGCATGAATGCAGCCCTTGTTCTCACACCACTTGTTCCTTACTGTCACAACATTTGATACTTAAGGATTAAAGGGCACCTCATTTTAAAGGGATCACAGCCTGCCAGATAAAAACCCCACTGTTTTAATCACTTAAAACCAAAAGGAAAATATCAGCTCTGGGAGAAGTCTGTTTTCTCGCAGAACAGGCAGCAGGTGAAGAGGTTTTTTGCTGGCACTTTTCACCTCACATAAGTGATTTTGCAATTTATGAGGACACAGAAAATCAGGCTGTGCATACTCAGGACAGTTTCTAGATCACACAGCCCCAAACACACCACAGGGGATCGCAGGGAGCAGAGCACAGCCCATCCCAGCGCAGCCGAGCGGGAAGGACAATATTTACCTTATTGAAGTCAAACGTCTCAAACATTTGCTCAACGTATTTGTTCGCTGAAGGACTCAGGTTTTTCAAGCCAAAAAACTGTTTGAACTCGTAGAGGGTGAGCTGGCCAGAAGGACACTCCGTCATGAACTTCTTATACCACTGGTGGCACTCGGTGGTGCTCAGCTCCTCCACGCTTTTCCCGTCCATGTTCCCCATCTCCACACCTCTTTGCAGCCAAAAAACAAATGGGGGGGTTTGTGAAGTGTGAGAAAAAAAATTCTCAAAGTTCTGCTTCTTGCCTTCGAAGCCCAGATGCTCCCAGCTCTTCAGAGGTCACAGTATCAGGAAGAATCAGCTGCCCGGTGCAAGGGCTGTATCAATTCCCTGTTGGGTGCAGAAGAAACGTCTTCCCGGGAAAACTCAAAAGCACAAAACCCTCTTTGGACAAGAGGGTGACATTTAAGTACCCAGCAAATCCCTCCCCAGCCAATGAGGCTTGGTGGGGAGAGGGGGGTGATGGGCTCCTGCCAGGCATTAAGGGTTCAGGGTTAAAATAGAAAAGAGGTAAAATGGGGAAGTCTTGCAGATTACAGGCCCATCAGGAGATTAGGAGGGTGGAATTTTCTCCTTGATGATCTAATCTCTTAATCCACTTCATTTATCACTGGGGGGGGGGGAACTCATGAAAAATAAATTTTACACCAAAATCAGACTAAGAAGAAAGAGAGGAAACCACTCAGAATTCTCTGTGCTCTTATTGCCTTTTTGGTTTCCCTTCAGCTTGATCTGCCAGAGGATTCCAGACAGGGCTCTAGAGCCTGAAATTCAGGGAGGGGGAAGTACCACGTGAGCTCCTAGAAGAGATGCTTCTGAGGGTAAATTTGGTGTGCTGAGACAAATATAGAAACAGAACTGCTTTAAATGGTAAAGCTTTAAGTACTTTCATTGCAAGCACCGGGAAGTTGAAGGTGCCTCTCCCCCCAGCTGCAGAGTCCCAGTGTTCAGTCTCCCTGGTCCTGATAGTTGGGTGTTTTCTCCTCAGAATTGCCCCACGCTCTGCTCACCCCGGGAGCTTGTCCTGGTTGGTGCATTACCAGAACTTGGCTGACACCAGTGGAGTTAAATGCAGCTCCAATTTTCATTTGGGATGAATTACCACGAAAAATTCTCCGTGTAAATATGAGCAAACCCGGTGTTGTTTGACACACAGCACTCAGAGAAGGACGGGGGGGATAAAACACATCCTCGGAACGCAGCACGAGCCAACTCCTCCACCAGCAGCCAAAGGGATGGGACTGCTGGGTCTCTGCCCACAGGGGGTTCATCCCACAGGACACATTTTTATATCTAACAAGTTTGAAGACTTATCTAGTGACTGGAAAGAGCCCGACTGTTGCGTGTTTCAGAGGTCGATGTTGCGTACGCGCGGAAGCAAATTCGGAATAACTCTGCTAAAACAAGCCACGTTATGAAAGAGTTATGAAAAGGGAATTAGGCTGAGGGAGATAATTGGATGTGCTAATTCTGGACTCACCACCAGGCCCCCATGATGCAAGGTGAACCCGGGCTCTGACCCAACACCACGGGGACAGCTGGAATAGCCCTGGAGCAGAGAGAGGGGCTGCAGTAGTGGGGTGTTCGTTAACAGTGGGAATGTTGTGTGTCAAAAGGGGATACAGGCTCACCATTCACTGAGAACACCACTTTGCCTGGGTCTAGGAAAGCTGAGTGAAAGAACATGGCCTTTCAGAGAAGGAGCAGAATTTGGACTCAGACAGGGGAGCTGGTGAAATGAGAAGCTGGCTTCAGGCTGATAGGGTTGAGGGCTGTTCAGCCTGGAGATGAGAAGGTTGTGTGGAGGCAGAGCAGCCTTCCAGTATCTGAAGGGGCTACAAGGAAGCTGGAGAGGGGCTGTTCATCAGGAACTGTAGTGACAGGATGAGGAGGAATGGGTTCAAACTGAAAGAGGGGAAATTTATGTCAGATATTAGAAAGAAATTCTTCCCTGAGAGGCTGGTGAGGCCCTGGCACAGGTTGCCCAGAGAAGCTGTGGCTGCCCCATCCCTGGAAGTGTCCAAGACCAGGCTGGATGGGGCTTGGAGCCACCTGGTCTAGTGGAAAGGTGTCCCTGCCCATGTCAGGGAGTGGAACTAGGTGAGCTTTAAGTTCCCTTCCAACCCAAACCATTCTGTGACTCTGTGAAACCTTCCCAGGTTTTGCAGCCTGTGCTGGGGCCAGGCTGGTGCAGACGAGCTTGGCTGGGTGGCCGCTCACTCAGTGCCCTGTGCTGCTGGCACCCAGTGCCTCTGCACAAGCAGCTGCCAATAAACGACAGGACAAGTTGGACCGGGTTTTCAGAGCAAAATCCACACTGCATATTTTTCTGGGGAGCAGCGACACAGCCCCAGCACCCACCCCTTGGCTCACGTGCTCGCTGCTGGTCCTAACTCAGACACAAATGGAAAACTGAAGCCACACCACCAGTTGCTGTTTGCACTGTTTGGGCTTTATTGCTTGGGCTACCCTGGTCCTGACTAGGGCTTTTTGCTGCGGAAGGGTCTCCATTTGAAAACGTCGGCGTTTTCCAGGTCGGTTTTTATCCTGCCGTGGCTCGTGTCCTCTCGGAACTGGTACCCACAGTAGGGCCTCTGCACGGTGTAGAAGGGGCAGTAGGAGTTGGAGCAAGTTCGTCGGTAGAAGACAAAGTTGAAGGAGCTGAGGGGGCGTCCCCCGGTGTGGACAACGACGGGAACGAAGCGATCGGCCAAAGGCTGCTCCTTGTGCTGGGGTTCCTCAGAGGGCTTGTTTCTTGGGGTGGGCTGTGTGCTGGAGAGCTCCTGCTTTGCTTTGGCCTTCTCCATTCCCTTGGGTCTCTTGTGGTCTTTGCTGGGGGCGTCTGCTGTGTCAGCCACCTGGGGCTGAGCCCTGGAGGTTCCTGCTTATCCTCTGGGGCAGCTGCAGCTTTACAGAAACATCTTCCCTGTGGAGCAAAAGACACAAAGGCATTGCAGTATTGCCCTCATGCTTTACCATCCTCATCAGTGCTTAAGGCCCCCAGTGCAAGAGCTGTGTACTGGTGGCCAAACCCGGCAAGTTAAACAAACAAGGAGGGCTTTTTACATGACAGGGTAAATGATGAGAAGTATTTACATTTCTTTAGCTAAAATGCTAAAGTGGTGCTGCATAAAGAGAAAGGGAGTTTAAAAATCCTGTGATGTTCTGGAAATACAGAAGTGAATTACTGGAAATAAAACAAATGCTGAGGGAATGCACATGGTGAGACAGGAAGGACTTGACTCTCTTGACTCACGTTTCAGCTGGTTATTTGTAACTGTGAAGAGTAAAAATAAGGTGCTACCCAGTTTCTGATGTTCCTGCTGTCATTCTGACCTGGCTCACCCCTTTATCACTTTTAGGGGACACTGTTTTCCTTCTGTGTTTGGCCCAGCAGAGCCCCAGTCCCAATCCCAGATCAGAGCCTGAGCTACAAACACACACTCCTTTGGAAAGCCTTCCCCAAACGCCAGCCACGGAAAACGAGGCATGGAAATGGTTCAACACAACCTGACCCACGGGGTAATGGGACACAGCAGTGATGACAGAAACCTGGCACTGTCCTTCAGAGCCTGAGCATCAGCTCAGCAGCTCCAGGGGCCTCTGAGGGACCTCCCACCACCCCGTGCCTCGCCCCACTGGGTGAACTGCTCTTGCTGAACCTTTAACTGGGTTTCCCCCCCCCCGAAACATGAAGGCACAGCATGGGGGACAAGGACAGCAGAGACAGCCTGTTTGGCCCAGGCATTTGTAAGAACCCTTTGCAGAGGAGGGGTGTGTGGATGTGCCCCAAGACACACATGGGGCTGACTTGTGACCCTGACGGCTGCTCCAAGGCTGTGCTTGATTGCCGAGGTATTTGTGCTGCTGTTACCTAAGCATGACTCAGTTGTCTTGTTTTCATTGACGACACCTCTGTGCGAATGGAAACTGCCTCTTCCCTCAGCAATTAGCCACTTTACTCCTGGCTGTTCTAAATAAACACTCTGCTTTCTGCTTATTTTTAACCTTGTAAAGAGGTTTCGTAGTTTCCATGATGTGCTCGGTGCTCTATTTCTGTTCCCTGGCTCCTAAACCTATTAGCAGGGAATGCCTGCGAGTCTGCAAATTGTTTAGGAATCTCCTTCCCAGGGGAATCACCAGATCCCTACAGGTTCACCACCTCTTCTTGCCATTCATTTCTCCAGGGTCATTCATTTCTCCAGCACCTGCAAGGCTGGAGCTCAGGACACGGGTTATTTCAGCAGTTGCTGCCACAAGGAAACCTCAGTCCATTTACTTCCCCAGGGGATAAAATAATGGGATTTTTAACTTCTGAAGAGCAGATTTTTGTACCACTGCAAAATCATTTCAGTGTGGTTTGAATATCCCTGCTCTGAACACACTTAGATTTGTTCAGAAATGATTATATTCACACACATGCACGCTGATAGCTCGTGGACATTCTCTCTTCGGAAGAGACAAGTACACACACGACTGTGCTGCTGCTGCTGCACCCACCCAGTGGGGAGCACTAATGTCATTAATCTCGAGTGTTTGGGGTGTGGAAGGGAGGCTGTAGCTACCCTGACAACCCAATTGCTAAGTCACGTAGATGCCTTCAAGATGTGCAAGCCTTGCTGGGCGATAGAGACCTGACAGTCATTTCCAGTGACGGGCAGATACCGAGCCTGGGAGTGCTGAGCTTTGGGCTTTGCTCTTGTGGTGGGGCTCATCTGCCCTGGAAGCTCCTGCTTATCCTCTGGGGCACCTGAAGCTTTGCAGAAACATCCTGCCTGCCCGTGTGAATGGACCTGCTTGCGTGATCAGTGCCTTGGAGGGGAAGCACCAGCTTAATGCCCACAGCACTATTTGTGGCACTGCCAGTGCTCTGTGCCTGAATGAAGAGTCCCACGTAATCCTGTTGCACCCACTCGTACATTTAATCCCTCCCAAACTGTCTGTTGCCTGTCAAAGAAGATCCCACAGCAGGGGTCACAGGCAGAAGGTTGGTTCAGCAACCAAGGGAGCTGGGAGGGCTCGGCCGTGAGGATGAAGCGTTCCCTGGGTGGCTGCCGGAGCCCTGCCTGGATGCCAGTGCCGCCTGTGTCCCCTCCTGTCGCCCTGGAGCCATCCCAGGAGCCACCCCAGGACGATGACACGAGGTTTGCTCTGAGCTCTCAGCCCCATGGGGGCAAAGCCGGCAGTGACGGCAGCAGCGGGATTTGCGCAGCGAGGAGGGGATGATGCACCACACTGACATCACCAGGACCTTCCTGCCCTGGTCACCCTCAGGGCAAGGACCTTCCAGACCCCTGCCCTCAGGATGGGGACGTGGTGAGAGGGTGTCTCTCCTGCCCAGCTCTAAGCCTGGAGCACCCACCTGTGAGGTTCTCTCCCTGGTGGGCACCCCGGAATGTGGGGCTGTCGAGGGGTGGAGGCAGCACAGGCAGGGTGGGCAGTGCTGGTTGTCAGGGCTGTCAGGGCCACTGTGACCACAGGGGCCATTGTGACCACAGGGCTGTCACCAGGGTGGTGGATGTCACAGGGGTGCCCAGGCTGAGCAGGGCTGCTCGGGCAGAGGGTGCAGAGGAGGGGCTCAGACATGGGGATTAGGATTTACATCCAGTGGGAACCCCCCCAGTCAGAGCACAGGATGCTGTGCCAGCCCTGCCACCCCCACTGAAACGTGGCCTTGGCAGCATGGACCCCTTGCCCCCATTGACAGAAGCTGGTTCTCTTTCTGCAGGTGCAGTTTGCTGCTCTGCAGCTACACATGAGAGTTTCTCTTCCCATCCCTCCTGCCCTCCCTCCCTCCTCCAGATCCCTCTGGAGCTGCACAAGCTGCACAATCCCTTCTCCCCTCTGTGAGTGTGGCGGGGTACAATCCACATCTGCAGGGAGCAGCTCCTCACCCTCGATGCAAAAGCAGATTGTTCTGGGGTGTTTACCCATGTTAGGATCAAAGGCAGCCTCACACCACGGCGTGTTACATCAGAGCAGCGCTCACATGGCTATTTCTACGCTATAAAATCTGCTGGAGATCTTCCAAGTGCTTTCCTGAGCTTCGTGCCCAAGCCCAGCCCACCCGCCCCTTTAGCTGTGTGGCCTCAATCACTGAGTGGCAGTTGTCCCTCCTTAAAAATACAACCAAACTGGGCAGCTTTCCCATGTCTCTGGAGTCTGCACTTCACAGAAGTCCCCCTGCCCAGCAGCACACCCAGCACGCCCTTCATGCTGGTCCAGGGCTCTTTCTTGGACTCCTGAGGGGAGGTCTGTGCTCTTCTGGGAGGTGGAAGGCAAAGAGCAACCACTTTTCATCTGGAACAAATAAATGGGAGTGTGCACACGAACCCTGGCAGAGTTGTTGAGCAGCTGGTGTTCGCTGGGATAATAAATTCACCTCAAAACACACATCCCTTCATGTTGTGAGGGTGATTTTTTTTTTTTTTTCCTACGCTCACCACCCAGGGTGAGGCAAAGGCATCGTTGGTGGGGTGGCACGGGCAGGGCTCTGGCATCCCCCCAGCCCTGGGGCTCAGGAACACCTCAGAGCAGTGTCAGGGAGCTGAATCACACCTTGCTGCTCCCACAGAGCATCTCTGCAGCCCCTTTGAAGTCTCTTTGGTCTAATGAGATTTTGTGGGACACCTTTGTGCACGAGCCGAGGAGTTTTCATTCCACAGAATTTTATTGGCTTCACTTGTTAAAGCAGTTCCTCTTCTCCTTCCCCTTTTCCATGACTGTGTCTCTGTATATCCTGTTTGATTTGTTCACCTGGGGACTGTGGATATCAGTGAGCACTTACTTATGTCCTGCCTACCTGGCAGAGATATCACATCCTTTGTCCTTCCAGCAGCGAGTGGGTCCTTCATTTCACCTGATTTCTGCTTTGGGGACGTGCCAGTGAATTTTCTTTAAATGCCAAAGGTTGGATTCAATGACCCTCAGAGGTCTTTTCCAACCTAATTGATTCTGTGACTCTGTCTGGAGCTCAGTTCCCTCAAGGAGCCGGTTCCAGCACTGCCGTTTCCCAGTTTCCATCCTATCACCCCTCTTCCCCGCAGGCAGGACCATCCCTTTTCCTGCCACCCTGGCTCAAACAGGTCCCTGTGGTGTGTCCCAGGGCAGGGAGCCGGGGCAGGTGTTAGAGGAGTGTTTCCCTGCCCTGTCTCACACAGAGAGCAGTTAAGATAACTGTCACAAAGGGTGCGAGCCCCGCTAATTGCAGGCCTCGTGCTCGGCACAAAGCCACCCCTTTTGGCGTCACCTGCCGCTCCTCCAGCGGATTTTGGGAGCAGCAGTGGGAGCCTGGAGCAGGCTGACCCCTCCCAGCCAGGAAAATCTGCCTGACCCCCTGGATGGAGCTGCACATCTGCAGCCCGGGGTTGAAATTCTCTGGAAAATCCCTTAAATTATTGTAGCCCTCTACCACAACCACAGCATCGAATTCTAACACTTTAACTCTCTTTTCCCTTCTCCATCTGCCATTCACGTTAATTCACTTGATTTAGGTGCTGCCTGGCAATTTGTGCCAGGATTCTCCTTTTGTACCAGGATTTGCCTTTTAGAATATCATAACAGTGCCCATTTTTCGTTGTGGGGATTTAATTTCTCTCCCTAATTTGTACTTTAAGGCAAAAGAAAAAGACGCTTTTCACAAGAAAAGTGTAATTTCGAAGTGAATAAACAAATTACATTTATCACTGAAAAAAAGAGAAATCTATATCATTTTGACTCTAAAATGTGTGGAAATAGATACAAGACAAGATGACTTGAGCCTGAAGCTGGGAGCTGTGTTTCAGAGTTAATGTTTTGACAGCTATTTTGGGTTTAAAGTTCTCCAGAACCCTCTGCATTTGTTAACTAGCCAATGTTACTCATTAACTCTCGATTTTTGCTTGCATGACACAAAAAATCATTTCCAGCAGTGCTGGAAATTTGCTTTTGTGCCTGAAACAAGAGATGATTTGGGGGTCAAGTCCCATTGCCTTGAAGCTTTTGCA